TCATATTCTGACATTGGTTTGGGACATTGATCATATTCTGACATTGGTTTGGGACATTGATCATATTCTGACAGTGGTTTGGGACATTGATCACATGCTGGCATTAATTTCACCATGTTTGCTCCTGTGCTGTGTAGATACATCGAAGGACTGAGCACCAACACCGAGAACGTGAGCGATTGGCAGCGTCATCTAACCGTGCGACCTGAGGATGTGGCCATCACGCCTGAGCAGCAGGCACGCTTGCCATCTAACTGGTTGGCCAACAAACCCAGCAAAGAGAGTGAGACACTCAAAGCACTGTGGAAACTACGAGATCTCATGCTGCATGACTCACTGAGGATCAGCAAAGCATATAACTTGTGAGTGTATGAACAGGTGTTGCTAGACACCCTTCAATTAGCTAGTCTTGTTGGTTAATTGGAACCACTGTGTTTCCTGAAGTTGGTCTTCAGGATGATGAAATTTTCTTATCCAGGTGTGAGTTATTTTATATGTGCATACCTACAAAAGAGATATTAATTTTTTTGCCAGAGTTTGGGCCTGTTTTTGTTACTTCAGCTTTACTTTGTAATGATGTGCCAGGAAAATCACCAATAGGATGATAGTCCAATATTTCTTGACCTTATTTGAATCTTTCATGAACTGTACATGTTGACTGTTCTAGCTGTGTGACCCATCATGATGTCTTGATTACGCTGATATCCTTACCCCTGCTAACGACCTTTTCTTTGTCCTCTGTTTACAGTGACATCAAGGAGGAAGCTAAACCTGACATGATTACCATAGAGACCTAGAGAGCAGTGTGTAAAACAATGAGTCATCCAGTCACGTGTGATCTCACTGAGACCTGTGTCATTCCATTATTGTGGCACCAAGATTATCTTCATAACACTGAACTTTTGCATATGTTACTGACCATCCTCTTAAAACCTCGACATTGCCAGAACTTTGTAGCTTAAAAGAAGGTGTTTCCACAATTTTAGCAGTTGAGCAATGCAGTGTTCATAACTTTGATTGTCTGTATTAAGTTTTAATAGCTTTCAGTGTGAACATTGGCTCAGGAGATCGATTTGGATTACTTAAACAAGGTTGCTGGCGGTATAGAAGTTTCTGCAATTAAAATTACCTACTTCAGGTCAACTTTGATGTGGTAGTCAATAGTGAAGTCCAGTAAATGTCTAGTTAGTAAGCATCTAGTTGAGCAAAATGCAGGAACTTTCATTATAACAGCTTAAAAGTACATTTGTCAATTGGTCCGTAGAATTGTCAAGGTTAAGCTTCTATTGTCCGTCATCAGAGTCACGTTTATTTTGGGCTTTCTTAGTGTAAAGTCTTCTGGCTGAATTTAGAAATGAAGTTCTTTTTAATATTGACAGCAAAATCTTATGTTATACACCAGGAAATGCTCATTGATATTTTTTTTTCTGTGGGGATAAATTCTCCTTAATGCCAAAAGAAGTCTGAATTAAGATTTTGTCCGTCACACAGAAGTGAAAACGTTCCTTCATATATATATTTATCATCTTTAATTTTTAGCTTGAGTTTAAACTGGTTCATTTTGCCTTGTGGGTTTATATTATTGATAAACATTGTAGTGAAGGGAGGCATTGCACAGTAATTGTGGTTAAGGAATTGGAATATTTAGGACATTTTAGCAGGTTAGGGTAGGGCATCAAGATTCTACGTCATGATTGCATCATGTTTGTGCTGCAAATGGGTGTCTTTTCCTGTATGCTAAGTTTCAAAGCAATCAGGCATGTGTGCCCCCCCCACCATCGGTTGTTATATGGACCAAATGAACTGGACTCTTGAGGATTGATGTGGCATATTTGTCAAATGAGGGGAGGGATAGATGGGTGTGGCATCCTGTGTGTCGGCCTTGTCATGTCCGTATGTAATGAGCATTTGTGTCTGTAGAACTGATTCGTGTCGATCAGCAACAACTTGTACTGTCTTAGTATGACACTGTGGTGAAGGCTCATTTGTATAGCTATCGTTTTTTTATCTACTTGACAGAAACTTATTCAACCTGTGCTGTTTCTTTTTTTCCCCTAAAACCATGGGTATGTTCTGCTCATTCATTCATTGGCAAACTTTGGCAATGGATTTCATATTGGATGCACACAAAAAAGATGTGACATTTAAATAGAATGAATTTCTTGTCAAGTATATTATGGCATAAACTAAATTGCATGAAAGATTTGAAAGTGATCCGAGTACTACCCTGATATGCGATTTATGCTGTGCGCCAGATGCAATGTTCTTGATTGTGGTTAACATTTTGTATTTATTTCATACAGCTCAGTTCTTCGTGAAAGTGAATAAATGACCATCTGCGTGAGTAACCCGTGTATTAATCTATGTCTGGGCATCCCTAAATTTGGCACAACTTTTTTGAGGGAAATTCTTTGTTTCCCAGGGTCCTAATACTTGATGTCATAGTAGGGCTGGGTCTGCTTCTTGTCCAAAGTCTTGATGCGCGAAATGTTTGCACAACTGCAGTTTAGAGAAAGTTGCATTTCAAATTATCAAGTTAACCGTGCAGGGAGAGAGTGACTAAATTACAACCTAGAGGTTTTCTGTTACACTGAAAGAACCAGGAACCTGTCTCCTCTGGAAGCTAAAATGACAACTTATCAACCATCACAAATGTAGCAGTAACGACTCAAATGTATTACCTGTTCATTTATTTGGGACGACACAGTTTTTACAAAAATCCCTTTGTGATCTTGTTCAAAAAATGGAATACAGCATTAATGTTAGTCACACTGCGGATGGTGCCCATGGTTAATCTGATAACTTCCGGATGTGACACCTTCCACCAAATATCTTTTGAACACTGGGAATGGTTTTATACAATAACACTTCTTAAACATGGACTAGGCTTTACCAGATGTCTATGTGTGTGCAAGTTTGGCCTTGTTTTCCTATAACACAGAGAAACATAATATTGCTTAATAATGGACGCATATTTGAGAACCCTGCACCAAGGTATTGATAGTAGGACTCTTCTAGCTGGTAACCTACTTCTACTGGGAACTCTCTTTTTCTGCTCAGGTTTTTACCTCAAGTCAGATAAATGCAACTAGTTACAGCTCAACTTGAGGACAAGCCCAGCTCTCCAAGAAAATAAAATACCAGTACGCTAGGATCAAGTGTCAGTTCACTATCTCTGGTAAAAGTTGCCAAAAGCCCTTTTTAAAATGAACCTGCAGTTCAACCTTCCCTAATTGAATTCCATTGGATCAAATTAACATAGATTAGCAGCATGGTACATAGGCAAAGAATCAAAAAAGTTACAAAGAGCAAGTATCCACAAATCACCGGCTTACTCTGTGTTTTGATTTGTTGTCCCACAATGTTGTTAATAGAAGCTTTTATACAAATGTAAACGGCAGTGAAATTCACCATGAGGGATGACAATGAACTTCTCCGTACTTGGTTAGATCTGCTCTGAACAAATTCAACCAGGCTACTCGGGGAAGCCCCAAACAAATATGGCACAACTTTTCCTTTAAATACACTACAAACTAAAGAATAAAAGATGCTACTGTAATGTTTGTAGCTATCCTGGACAGATTTACACACAAGATCTGGAAAGTTGTTGATGTAACACCTACTGCCTACTTCCAAAAATACATCCCTGGGAATGGCATTACATGAATATTCATTGGGTCAGCAAGAGCATTTTTTCCCAAGATCACTCGATCATACAAAGATGTTCCCCAAAAGTCACACACTTTTGTGGTGTGTTACAAAAACAGTCCTGAAATGAAGTCTACTTAAGACCTAAAGGACACATCAACCATGTCCAGTGAAAGTTGTGACCTTCCCCACCAAGTTAGGGGTATTTTAAAGAACAACTTAACTGAACAATGTTGTGTATCTTTATGTAATTAATCTGAATGATTATGTGTCAAATTTGTCACTATGTCTTCTACATCACGTTCAATCTCTTATGTTAATCATCTATGCACACCCAGACTCATTTTTATTCTCTAAAAACAGCTTTTCAAACCACAAAGTGAAATAATAATACTTCTAAAAATGTTCAACACTTTCTACGTCAACTCAGCTAGGACATCACATTTTTTCCATCTAAGCCAAGTCCAAAAACATACACACAATTACTGGCTTTGCTATGTATCTAGTACAAGACGGCGCACAAAGCACATACACATACAATATTTATAGTTACAACTTTTTTTAATGAGTATGAACACCAGGCTTAGTCTCCTCTCTCTTCAATCGTGGTCTCAACACCTGTTTCTTGATCTGTTTTTTTGTTTTGTTTCTTTCCAACTTGGAAGCAAGCCTCCCAAGGTTGACAATATTACAGTTTCTCAACAGTTTAAGCCTGTATCTTAAATTACAATATCTCATCAAATATTGTTTACAAAATTCAGTCAAGGTAGTTGGTATATTACCCGCTGTCTGAAATCATCGACAGCATGTTATCTTACTTTTTTTACAAATCAACTGACATGATACATGAGTCGGTGCATTTACCTAAAATCCGTCCAAGTCTAAATCTAAACTCTTGCATGTGTTTATTGCTCCTCAACGAAAAAAAAAAGAGTTGATTTTTTTTTCATGAATTTTGAGACCACAACTTTTGTTTACCAGGGAAGAGATAGTCACTAATTCTAAATCCTTGTTTCTTTCCAATAGGCATTGTCCCACATGCACACACATGTACAGATCAACTCTGATATGTACAAACAATGATGCTCGGAAACACAAATTGTACTATAAAAACTCTGAACATAAAAAAAAATTAAAATAAATGAAAACAGAATCTCAAGTACAGATCTCAATAAAACAATACTCTTTAAAGCAACTGTCTTTGCTCTGCTTTCTAAAAATTAAAAAAAAAAGTTGAAAGATTGAGACTGCTATTTATTGCACTTAACATGCTTTGTATTTGAATACTGACAACTAATGAAATGATTAACAGGTCAAAGCAAAGGTTAAAACATTTCAATGCCGATATCCTTATTTAAAAATCCACTGGGGCAAGCAAAATACATGTACATGTAGTTCATTGTTAGATTCTAAATTATTCTTTTTGGTTTACTAGGCAATTGGTACATTGAAAGAATGCTCAGACGTTAAGCTGTAGCTGCATATATTGCCTTTTCTTTTCAACCAGATGTCATTTCTAAAAGGTAAGTAACCTCAATTTTCTGTAAATTGAGTTTCAAAATAATTACACCATCAATGTTGAAAAAGGAACATTTTAAGATTGAATAACTTTTGCAACTGCAGACTTATGGACCACTCTATTGCATTTGGATTACAGAAAGCAATGATCATCTTCTAGAGCTAAGTGATAAGTAATTTCTTCCCTCACTAAAAAAGGCAACTTACAGCATCCAAGGACTTGAAACAAGACTTGAAGAAGTTGCCTTATAATTAAAAAATGCAGCACTTGTTAGCATCTGGCAGTGAGGAATCTAGCTTTTAAATACACCTTGTGTTGATCTGGCATCACTTAAAACCCTCACAACACCTGACCACAGTTTTAAAAAATTAAGTAGCTTTAAGTCTTCCTTCTTTGAAGCTTAAAACAAATTACACTCCATTCAAATATATTTAAATAATCACTTTTAAGAGTTTTAGAATTTCAATGAGTAGCTGGTGTTTTGGCGGTTTTTTCTCCACCCGCTGGAAAAGGGGATTAATGAAGAGCAATTTTTATCAAATGGTATCCAAACACACATTCACTGAGGTAAATTCTTATACAATTTAGCCAAATTCATGTCTCTATACAATATGCTAAGCCATGAAGTCAGTGGGTTGGAATTTGGTTGTGTTAAGAGCAGTTCAGATGGAGTGGTTTGCCGGCAAATTCCCCTGAAGTTATTTCAGGAAAAGAGAGAGGGAGAGTTCAGCGATGCAAGCTGGATGCTATTTTGGGCAGGCAAGCAACATGCTCACACTTGCATAGATTTCATATCTGCAAATGCCTTATCCAGCTATTCTTAAGTAACACCGATTTTCTTGAAATCGTCCATTTATAGCTCATGAGTTTACTGTGGTGGAATAGGTAATACTTGTCACAAGGTGTGCCTCCACTGGTATTCTGCTATCATTAGCACTATGAAAGGTTGAACCAGCAACCTCTGACAACATACTGTTCTTGTCCCTAATCCCATTCATCTGCCTGAGTTCGGCCAACTTGGCCCGTTTCCAGTCCCCAATTGGACTGCCACTTGTTTGCTGAGGTTCAAGATTTAATATCATTTCAGGGACTTGTCCCAGCGAGGGCAAACTCAAGGCAAATCATTGCAGGTGTTCACATGATTCTTCTGAGAAAGCCCTTTGAATTCAAATGGCTCATGATGTCCAAAATTTCAACTTATTTAACAACAGAATTACCATCATTACAAATGCTTATGGAAATGATCATTCATTTTGGTATTTGGAAATCCTAGTTCATTTCCTATACAATCAGTAGTAACTGATTGGACTTGATGTGGGATGTTGTAACAGTCATAATAAGGAAATATTTCCAAAATAAAGGAAACTTCCAAGGCAAGATATTGCTGATATATGGTTCCTATAAAGATCATGAAAGTTGGGAAGGGGCCACAATATCTAAAATGAACTTACTGCATGTTTTGACAAATTCAAATCGGGAAAACACTATTTAACTAACCTGTCCATTCACTAGGCACAAAATCAACTTACTTCCAAGGCTGTTAAACATCTTTTTGCTTGTTTAAACAGTTTTGCTAAGCATGTTTTTCACACAGAATAAATACTCTGAGGTAGCGCTACAAAGAATGTTGACAAAAAGTAAGCAACCGAGTAGATATGCTACGACTTGTAAAAATGACATTAAATACTGATGCACAAGACATTTGACTTACACATAAACCAATCATACATGCACACTAAATCTTAGCTTCGCATTTAAATTGCTCGAAGGGATCAATCCGTGCAAGTCATCAGTTGCTGGTTTCTCCATGTTATTTTCCCGTTTTCTTCTCTTTTTTCCTTTTTTTTTTGGTGCACAAACATTTCACAGATTGACAAAAAAAGCAGAGACTGCGGAGCAAATAAGTTAACTGTACATATACTGATGCCAACACTTCAGCCAAAGCAGGAGGGGAAATAACTGGGGGTGGGACAACACAGAAAGAGGTGGGTTCAAACAAAACATCTTTAAGCACAGTGGCATTCACTCTCGTCATTTTGATACATGCTACCTTAAGTAAGATAACACAATGACAGTCATTACATTGAAATTTGGTTCATAAGATTCAAACTTGTGCAACATGGCAGGCTGGGCTTGGTCTATGGAGATGTCAAAATGAAAGAGCAATTTCCAGGTAGATTGAAATAATTCACGTAAATATTACTCTTCTTTGAGGAAAAGAAGAAAGTAGAGACAAAGAAATAAAAATTTAAATTTACAACTTTCACCAGTAATAAAAATAATCAACTTTCACTCTGTTGATTTGTGTGTGTGTTGAGGGTTTAGGACTATCACACGCAGATTGACGTAACAAAAGCTGTTTCACTTGCGTTAGTATTGGAAGAAACCTCATACGATTACATTACAATTCAAAAAAACTATATACATCTGTTCACATGATATTGCTTCAACTCACTGCAATTGGGTTTACAATTAGGTGTTAATACTCATGGAATGCTTGTCCTAAATTTCATTATACACATTCAACTGTGTCAAAATTTAAAACAATAATTTACAAATTTGGAAGTATCATTCAATCAGTAAGGGGCTGGACCATAATGTGAGTGATTTTGGCAAAATAGCCGGTGCACGTCAGAAGGTATGTGCATAATACGTGCATGTCATTGACATGCTTAAGACTGTTGGTAATACAGAAATAGAAAAGTAACAACAAAAGTAGATACCTTTGGCTGGGGATGTTGTATCAATATTTCAAAATCAGGATAAAAATAAACCTTAATAAGCAACATTCAATGAAAAAAAAAGAACAATGATTGCTCATGGAGGACTCTGACTCATCCTCGGATACACTGAGAAACACTGCCAGTAGAATGGTAATAACCCTAGAAAGGAGTGATGCGTCTTCCTTTTGAACGAGTAATAAGTACTTGAATGAGTGCAGCATAGATACTGTACATGATGGCACACAGGAATGGAAGATATGAATTGAATTGGTTGACGAAGACATGGTCTACCCACAGCTCACAAGGAATTCCAATGGGGGGATGGCAAAACTGATACTTTGTATTTCATGGAGTTTTGAATTGCTATTAAAAACAAGTGGAATTTATTGTTCCTTTTCAAATATCTTAAAAATGAGGACACAGTAGAAAATATTCACAGGGATTGATATTGCATCTGAAATACTCCGTAAGAAGTCAGACTTTTCTCAGTTAAACTTGTCCAAAGATTTCTTCAAATCATTCACTAACTTTTCCCTTTAAAAAGAAAATGCAATTCTTAAAAGCTAAATTACAGAATACATTGGCACATCTCAATGTGATATTCCCACAAACCCTGCACTCCACAGAATTCAATCTTGATACTCTGAGGAAACGTTGGCTGTGGCTGAATTTCCAAAAAAATACAAGCCATCAACTTGACTGACCCTGACTGTTAGAAAACACACATAAAAATGCTTTGGGGAGTTGGACTTCCTTTTGGTACAGAGAACTAATCCATTGGCAGCAATATGGGAGGGGGTATTCCAGTACAGACACGACCCATCAAACAACAACCTTCAGCCCGTCACTGGGTGCTTGCAAAGCAGAGATAGCTGTAGACAAATGCACAGCAGAGGAGCTGAAAATAGCGCCCTCTGCAAGGTATGCAAGCACCGGATAGGAGCTGGATGGAGGTAAGTAAACGAGGGTTGTGCTGTACGCCGACTGGGTTATCAGGTAGTGCTGGGCCCAGAGTGCTGCTGCTTCTGGTTTGGCTCAGGTTGTTGAGACATCTGCTGTGGATATTGGGGTGGTGGATGCTGCTGCTGTTGCTGCTGTTGCAGGTGCTGCTGAGGGTACATCTGCTGGGGGTAAGGGTGCGGCGAAGCACCCCTAGGGTCAGGGTATGAGTGACCATAATTTGGCATAGCTGGGTCAATGGGGGCAGGTGGCATTGCCATAGGTCCATTACCGGTTGCGTGGTTGTTAACCATCTGTTGCTGCTGAGCCTGCTGTTGCTGTTGCTGCTGAGGTGGCAGGTGGTTTCTCATGGGCATCGCACCATTTTCCCCCATTCCAATGGTGGGAATCTGGTCCATGAAGTAGCCCGGTTGGAACTGATTGTGGGCTGTGGTCGCAGGCAGGCCGCCGGCTCCGTAATGCCTCATCTGGGGGTCTGGCATCTCCTGCTTAATAACGGGGTAACCCATGCCAGGCTCCTGACGGCCAGAAGGCAACGGAGGTGGGGGTTGAGGGTACTGCCCACCACACGTGTTGGGATAGAAGCTACCAGGCTCTTGCTTAATCAGCATGGGGCCAGCGTGGGGAGGCAGAGCCGGTAGAGACTGGTGGGGTACAGGGCCCTGGACTGTACCATGGTAAGCTGTACTACCACTGCTAGTACAGCTTGTCACACAGTCATTTTGATTCTCCATCTTGACCCGGACAGGCGTCGTCTGACCCTGCTGTTGACCTGGACAGTTTGCTGGCTGACCACCTTCCTGCTTGACCTTCACTGCTGGCTGCTGCTGCTGCTGCTGTTGTTCCTTCTGCTGCTGTTGTGCCGACGGCTGCTGGGCTGGCTGCTGTAGTTGCGTTGGTTGTTGTTGTTGCTGCTGCTGCTGTTGCTGCTGTTGATCTTGGGGCTGCTGAGTTGTTGATTGTGGGGGAGGAGGCAGAGCAGGAAGTGGGGGAGCCGTCTTTCTTTTCATCTGTTTGAGTTCGTCTCGGAGTTCCTTGAGAGTCGTATAGAAATTGACTTTGTCCGTAGCACGAGGAAACTGGGAGCATCTGGCACTTGATGATGGCATGACATAAATCACCTAAAATTGTAACAAAAATAATCCTGATTATTATTAGTCAGTTGTTAATGTCATGAGATCAGAGTCATTCCAACAACATCAAATCTCTTCACGATCCATAGCTATTGTTCCCTTCTTAGTTGTTACTGTCATGAGATCAGTGTCATTCCAACGTCAAATCTCTTCACAATCCATAGCTAATGTTCACTTCTTAGTTGTTACTGTCATGAGATCAGTGTCATTCCAACGTCAAATCTCTTCACAATCCATAGCTATTGTTCCCTTCTTAGTTGTTACTGTCATGAGATCAGTGTCATTCCAACGTCAAATCTCTTCACAATCCATAGCTAATGTTCCCTTCTCAGTTGTTAATGTCATGAGATCAGAGTCATTCCAACAACATCAAATCTCTTCACAATCCATAGCTATTGTTCACTTCTTTGTTGTTACTGTCATGAGATCAGAGTCATTCCAACAACATCAAATCTCTTCAACAATCCATAGCTATTGTTCACTTCTTTGTTGTTACTGTCATGAGATCAGTGTCATTCCAACGTCAAATCTCTTCACGATCCATAGCTATTGTTCCCTTCTCAGTTGTTACTGTCATGAGATCAGTGTCATTCCAACGTCAAATCTCTTCACAATCCATAGCTATTGTTCCCTTCTTAGTTGTTACTGTCATGAGATCAGTGTCATTCCAACGTCAAATCTCTTCACAATCCATAGCTATTGTTCCCTTCTTAGTTGTTACTGTCATGAGATCAGTGTCATTCCAACGTCAAATCTCTTCACAATCCATAGCTAATGTTCACTTCTTAGTTGTTACTGTCATGAGATCAGTGTCATTCCAACGTCAAATCTCTTCACAATCCATAGCTATTGTTCACTTCTTAGGAATGCATAGCAAACATGTACAATCAATAAAATGATGGGCAATCCAATTATGAAAAAAGCTTTGATGAGAAATTTGGTCTCTTTCCATTTGATCAGTTCCCCAGATACACTGCAACTAGAACCTACAATGTTTTTCCATTTATCACCAAAGCAAACTGGGCAGACCAAAAACTAATAAATTGTTCCAATTTGAATTGAAATATTCCTGTTAGGTATAAATATAGAACAGCAATACAACCGATCCATTGGGCTTCTTGTCATGCATGCATGTGTACGCTAACAACTTGTTTTCCGACTACTATACCGTGTCTGTGTCAGGCATGGTCTCTGGTTGCCGACCAATCTCAAAGTCTTTCTTGCCGCTGAAGATTTCATAGATGCCTTTGCCATTGAAGCAAGCGATCAGAGGTCTGTATTTCCTCATCTTGTCAGTCAAAATCCTTGCTCCATCTTTGATTTCTTTCCTGTAAGATTAAAGCGAATCAGAAAATAACTCAGCTTACAGACACTTACTCATTAACCCTTACCCCATTCTATACATGAGAAGACTTCACAGTTTTGAACGCCGATGGTGACACTGTGCCAACAGTTCAATGACGTACATTTTTCAACATCCACTTAACCTTAAACCTCCAAGATCACAGAAAATCCTCCCAAAATGTTTGGAAAATAGAACTCAGTAAATATTGCTCAGTATACAGCTTGATGCCTTTGAAGTGCAAAGAATATATCAATGATTTCTGAGGAATTTGGCGGATTCAAGACAATTCTGTGACAAAATGGCTTGACAGAGGCATTCTTGGTACAAGATAACATTTCAAGTTGTAGTTTGCCCTCATATTCTTTGGTTACCGTGTGAGATCAGAGCTTCCTCGGGTTGTCCTAGATACAATATTAGTGAATCCAATATTGAACTGTAAGAGACGATGGTCATCCATGCAGGTCATGGGTTCATCCACCAGACCTGACAGGTACAGACATTTCCCTGTTGGCAAAAAAACCCAAATGGATTGTCTTGGTCAGTTATCTAATGCTAGCCTAAGAATGGGCAGATTCTGTTGGGGGTTTATCACAGTAGGATTCCAGGGAAGACTTTTGCTGTGACTGTTAGATTCTGGGGGATAGCTGGAGAAAATTCCAAGAGGTTTGGGATTCTGTATGGTTTGATGGGGTTCTGTAGGGTTTGGTGGGGTTCCATATGGTTTGGTATGGTTCCATATGGTTTGGTGGGGTTCTGTATGGTTTGGTAGGGTTCTGTATGGTTTGGTAGGGTTCTGTATGGTTTGGTGGGGTTCTGTATGGTTTGGTGGGGTTCTGTGTGGTTTGGTGGGGTTCCATATGGTTTGGTAGTGTTCTGTATGGTTTGGAATTTCCAAGCAGCTGCTGCAAGTCACTGAAACCATTCAAACACACTTCATGATTTCCACAGAAATGAGCCTTCCTTCCCAAACTCACTGTTAGGTGCTGAAAGACATATATCACAATGGTTGCCTTGTGTTTACTTACAGAAATGGTTCCCTGGTCCTGCGTAATGGTGGCCCTTGTATGCTGCCATCAGTCCAGGGTTGATACCAATCTGCCGACAACAGAGATAATGTCAAAAATTAGGACAAGTATGTCAGACAGGAGAAATATTAATTCACACTATAGATGGACTTTTTGAAAGCACTGGACAGTTGGAAAAGGAGGGTGACTTGTCTGAAATACGATTCAAATTCAGACTGTGAAAACTCTGTTTTTGTTCTTAACTTTGTGTTGGTTCTCTTTTCCTTTTTCTTTTGTTTTTCTTTTTTGAGCATACAAGCGAAAGTTTGACCGCAACTTTTGGCTCTACTTATTCATGTAAAATCAATGTCAAATTGTCAATAATCAGCTCAATATGTACAATACAACCACTAACACCAATAACAGGCTGTATCTTGGGCAATAGTCAACTATTCGTCATTTCCAAGTTTTGCACAAAAATGTTCTTCAAGGGAATGTACAAAAGATTTTTTAACCCTAACCGCCAAGCATATTGTTTGGCTTACAGTACTCAGTACTACAAAATACTAAGTATTAGCCTGAGCCTCAAGGTCCTAGCGCTACAAATTACTACTTCTGGCTAGGTTACTTCCATTGTTACTCATACAAAGAACAATAAAGCCATGCATTCATAGTGCCACAGCACTGTATGGTACATTGTCTTATCTATTGTATTTTATGGCTTCAGAGAGCAATGCGGTCATGTCCTCTTACAAGCGACAGCGCTGATTACTACATTTTACTACAAGCAGTAATTTGTAGTATTACGTAGGGTTAGGGTTAAAAAGGAACTTACGATGACGATATCAAGATTGGGCATGAGGATATCTGGGAGTGTTCTCTTAGCAACCTCCTCCTCTGGGGTACCATGGAAACGATCCACTTTCCTCCTAGGCTTCTTCTCCTTAAAGTTGTCTGTTATCTTCTCCTGTTTAATCTTCGATTTCTTCCCCGGTTTACGTTCCGGTTGCGTCAGCGCCGTGTTATGCTGATGCTGCTGCTGTTGTTGCTGTTGTTGCTGTTGGATTTGGTGCGGCTGTGGAGGCAGGGGGGGTAAGCTGTGCATCATGGGGTGTGGGTAGTTTGTCATGGGGTACATGTGTGAGTTCATGTTCATGACGCCCATGTGGTTGTAGTCCATCATGTGCTGGGGTTCCGTCTTGATATACTCCAGCTGGCTCATTCCCATCATGTCGTGAGGCTCTCGCTTGATGGCTTGTGGAGGCATCATAGCTGGCATGTCTAAAGGTTCTGACTTCACCACAGGCATGGTAAGACTCGACATACTACAGATAATAAAAAACAAATGTTGATTTCATGAATGCCCTGTAAAGACCATGAACAAAGTACATACATGTCAAAACTCAAAAGTATGTAAGCTACATGTACCAGTAGTGAACATGATTAGTTCAAACTGGAGACAAGTCTATTTCATGATATGGAAACTCCCACTACAGGCACTTAATCTTTCTATATTACTCTGTCAATTCTGGGCTCTTGATTTTCAAGTAAACTACATACAGAACAATTGCTTGATTTACTACAAGTATCATACATAACAAGTGCCCCCCTCTGTGAGTAAGCCAAACAGTAGGCCCTATCTATCCTATAGCCATGCCAGGCTGAATTGTAACTCCACAGAGTTGTCCGTATTATATGTGGTTAAAATGGTAAAGGGTTGTTCTTGCTGCAGCCAATGATATATCAAAGGCATTTTCGTGGGGGGCGGTGTGCCAGAGTCAGTTTGCAGACTTGTACCTTGTTTGCCAACTTCGTATCGTGTAAAATTCAGAAAGTGATCTGTGTACACATAGTACGCTTCATTTCATGCTTCAGGGGAAATGCCAATGGCCAACATATGGTTTATGTACTAATTTTGAATTCATTTGCTGACATGTAACTATTGGACACCCCCCCCAACGCTACACCCCTGCCTACAGCATCATCCATATAGACACTTAGCGGAGTATCTACATATTTTTGAACAGTAACACTAGTATAATGTCCTCCGAAGATCATGGGTTTGAGCCTCTTTCATATACTGGGGTTCACTTCAAATCACTATTAGAGCTCAATATTTCTCATTTGATTTTTGTAGTGATATGCAATGCATTACTTTAAACTTGGATTATGAAAAAAATCAGAAAAAAAAAGTGAAATTGAGACTGCCTGTCAAACCTTCATCAACTTGAGTCCCAAATTACTCTGGAGTTTTGCAAAATACACACAGGAGAATTGTGAAATCATTTCAAAGTTCCAGATTTTGATCTTGGGGACAATTCTAAGCATTGAATCAATGCACTGTAATAAACTGTCCTCTAGATTAATTTTGAAGTCATTTATAGGGCATCCTGACTAAAACAGTGACAGTAACAAGGTGAATAAGTACTGCTCACTTGTACATGTACTTTGATTCCAACAAATAGGTTAATTCTGTGATCATGACAGCGTCTACAGATCTGCAGACAAATAGACAAGATAAATTGAAGTGCACTTTTAACAATACACCATGCCCTTTGTAATACCCTTTGGGAACATTTATCATACATTTTCATGTCAATGTACATGTATAACCATAAACAATGTGATTTATTTTGTGTTATTGGTTTTATCCTACATGTGTTTTTATCCTACAGGTTTTGTAGGCACTCTGCATTATAAATGGCATACGTGTACATGTACTGACAGAAATGTGAACACAACTGTGCTATGCCCGCAGGTTTTCAATGATTCTCGATCAATTAACCATTCCTTTTTCGATTACGGGTTTGATCTATCAAAGGGCCAAATTTATTTTTCAGCATACTTTCATGCAAGGCCAAATCACCGACGAGAGAGAAGCAAGCACTTTGGGATATCTTTACAATCCATCTCATCTTGCTGTATTTTTCAAATGTACATGTTCACAAACAATCTGTCTCTACATGTACAATGTATGGTCATCCCACATTTCTAGCTCAGCAATGTTTGAGATTTTGAGTTCAAGAAGTATCTGACCATTCCCTTTCAAAATCCCAATGGAAGCCTTTCTTTTTGCAAAATGGTCTAAGCTTATTAAGAAAATAATGTAACAGAACGATGAAACAGCGATCAATTAATCAAAAGACCAAATAATCCATGCAGACTTATAACACATGTGCCTGTATAATTTCCACTGAATCTGAAAAGAAGCTTCTGTAAAACAACATCAAGCAGTATGCTACTTGTAATTGGAGCAGGAGGTTTCTGAGGTACAGTACATGACACGAAGCACACCTGCAGACACATGTATGTGTCGTCCAAGTACCAGTCAAGGAGCTGCAGGTTGGATTTCATACAAGTACATGTAAGACATGTACATGAAATTTCTTAGTCACCATTGTGCAGTGTGCATGTACTGTATGTACATGTACAGTGCATACATGTACATTCAAAGAAATTCATTTTTTTAAATAGAAACTTCTGTTTAGTTTACAATGTCGGAATTAAAAAAACCTCATATACCATTGGTTTCAAGCCAGATCAACATTTTACACAGCTGCCCACAAAACCAACAAGATATATGACTCACAGCATGTCACGCACAGTAGTTCTTATCTGTTATCCTGTGCGATGCTGAAATTGAGTGACTGTCTTATGAGTGTGAGTCACAAAACAACAGAAAAATGAGTCAGAATCAGTCATGTGACCAATGCAGGTCGTGTACAGCACCTGCATACGCAGGTACTTGTGCCTACCAAGTACACGTAATTTCCCTCATTTCCTCAAATTTAGCCTTTGCGGGTGACTTCTACTTTCGTGTACATGATGTGATGAATATTAAGTGGAAGGAAATACTTTTTGAAGACATCTTCGATGAACAGTTTCAGTTACTTGCGGTGCTCTACACTGAATTGATAAATTTACGAATTATCTGAAATACCGTAGTGTCCACCATCTGAAATATGACTGAGCCCTACATATGTATGAGCCAACCCCTGATAAAATATTTACAGTACATCTTAATTTTGATCTGAGATGCTTCTCTAAACTGCATTTTTAAACTTTTGTCTGAAAAACCCTCAGGCGAAGTGAAAAGCCTTCAAAGTCATCACAATTCGCCACTGTGCAGTGGACTAATGGCACATTATTGATAGCATTATTGCTATTTACAACTTGAGTGTTAAACTGCAAGTCAAGTAACAGTGGCTCAAGGGCACACTTTGTAATCCAACCAACTGCCGTACCCAGCTGTTACATGTACATGTAGGTACCAACAGACTGAAGACCAAGTTTGAAAATGTCAATTGTGGTCATGTGTCGAACTACAGAGTACAGACAATAATCATGGATGCGCTATAACTAGTAATAATAGACATGACTATACAGTTGAATTACTGCATTCCAGAATTGTCAGTCAATTCTAATCCTCACTTCAATTGAAAATTGCATAAAACTGGACACAGTCACTTTCCTTGATGGAATTACATGCCATTTACATAAATTGCATTTCATTCATTCTTTCCATGAATAATTGTCCACCCTCTGAATAGGTTTGCTGAATGTCAGATCCATGCATACGGTTGAGTGCACACGTATAGATCTGCAATAACATGAATTTCCCTTGCATTAAGCTATTACCGTGGAGGCTTTAGATTGTTTTGATGTTACCAGTATAAACATGGCCAGAGTGAAATGAAACAAGGAGACAGATAAGTCAGTAGATAATTTGCAAGTGTAAACATTCACACAAAACCACACCTGTACATGTATACAGGCATGAAAGATTTTAGAATGAAACTTTTCAAAAGCATATTTTATGCTTCTGTTAGTGCTTCAAATGGTAAAGCTTTTCGTCTGACAATTTCCATTCTATCTGAGAATACCATGAATATAGGGGAATTTTTGGTCAGGTTTGATGGCCAAGGAAGAGATAAAATTCACTGTTCATCGACGATGAAGCCATTTCAGTCACAATATCTTTAGGTTCAAGATGCTTGGAAATGAATGCATTTTGTCCGAAAATGAAAGCCCAATACATGTACATGAAGCTCAACAAATAACCACACACATGTACGCATGTTTATAACTTTGGCCATTTTCTGTGATGTCAGACCCATGAGCAGACTAGCTTCAGTGTTACCAATTTTATTGGATTAAAACAGAAATACATAATTTCAGCACAGAAGTATCACTTATTATCACTCTAGTTTTGTTCTACATGTACATCTTCCATAACTACATTGTGTAATATCTACTGTGCAGAAACCAAAAGCATGTACAGTTTTTTAGAGCAACATCAGGACCCATGCATGTACAACATGACATACAATTGTATGTACAGTAGTTGGGTTCTTTCCTCAATCCTTTCAACATCATCCAAACCTCACAATATGTACGACACTGTATGGATCTTGAAGGATGTTGGATTTTGTTTTAACAAAGATTTTCATACAATTTGTGCATACCCTCTAGTGTAGGGGAGTGTGGTGTAACTTAGCGTATGTACAAAACAACATAAAAACTAGGGCTTTTTTTCTTCTGCCTATGGGGGGGCTACGAGTATGAGGGAAAAAATGATAAAACTCAATTTTGGCCACCTTCTAATTTTTTTCGGCCAAACTTGTGATAACTGCACAGAAAGTGCCCAAAATTTCTGAAATCAATCGTCTACCATATTACCAGCCAGTCAGAAAAGTGAGAGTTTCCCTATAAAGCTTCCCCTGCCAACAGCCAGTTTCCTTGTTTTCTCAAACCGCATTGAGATAGATCAAACATCACCTCTAGAATATCAATTTGTACCCCTGGCCTTTTAGGTCAAACCTAAATCCCAATCTTATTGGATTTGGAATGGCTAAGGTTTCATTCCATCATTCTTCATTACATCCTTTTAACACAAAAAACATCTGTAATCTGAGAAATGAAAAAGTGGAACCTTTAACTAACTGACTGTAAAAAAACATTACAGCTTACATGTAAATACAGGGAGGGTTGTTACAAATACAGGTAGGGTTGTTACAATTTCCTTTTTGAGTTCCCTGTGTTTGGGGGTTACATGTACATGTACATGTATATATTGGTGTACATGTACTTAAAATTATGATTATATTTACATTATAGTACTAATTCATTATGCTGCCCTTATGCAATGTCTACGTGTTTGTATGCTGAATCAGCAGAAACATACATACGTGTACACTGTATACAGTTTATACAACATGGCACATGTATACCATACATTTGTACTGTGCACAGATGTACATGTACAGTAAATGTACAGTGTACCTAATGCATACATTAGAGCAACGTGTCTCTTCCTGGTGACAACTAACAAGTCCCTTACACATTAAATCCGTTGGATGGTCCATCCTTTAATATGTATTTATTCCATAGAGTATTCAATCACCAAACAGCCCTGAACAGGTGCAGCATGAAACGTTGGCATAACATTCAGGATACTATGTACATATGTACGTGTACATGTATGTATAATTGCAGACTGTAGGCATGTCATGTGTATGTGTATCATAGTATGTACATGTACATGTACACATGTACATGTACATGTATATGGTGTATATTATGTGCACTATGTAGGCTAACCTGCCCTGGGCCCTACAGAATTTAAACCATTGACAATTTCCTTGTTTTCCTCTACAAAACTTCCTCCTTAAAATGTCTGGGGAAAACAGGAATGGTACCCATCAACCTGCAAGGATTAGTTCAACATGCACTACTAGTAACAATGAGGTGATTGAGACACTGTCAAATGCTACATGTATGTCAGAGAAGTAATATTAAATGATAAAGTGTGTGTATAATAAACAACATATGTTTTGTTTTGTCAGCTGTCTACCAGGGCCACACTTCCTGTCTCTAGTCTACAGAGTCTATGGCTTTGCATATTAGCACAGTCTATTGAGCATTCCAAGCTACGTTTGTATGCATGATGTCTTTGAAATACCAATAACCTTCACAGTTTTTATGATATTCACAAAACTGACAAAGAAACGTTTGTAAAACTTGTCACAGACAACAGAAATGTTTATATTATTTCACAGGCTCCATTTCTAACAATGCATTATTTGGTTTGAAAAAAAAAAACAAGTCTTTCCTTGTTCAAGCTTTTGTCATCCTTTAATGCAGAATGACGTTGGGCCTTATATTTTGACCATGCTTCTTTAATTCATCAACAATTAGACAACTGCCTCTGGATAAAAATAGGTCTACATGATTTTAACATTGTTAACAAATCCAACATGGGTCTATACAAAGAAGTATGGAAGATTACTAAACAAATCCAAACATTTTGATATTAATTTTTTCAGTAGCTGCTATAAAAACAGTTCACGAATGAAAAAAACAAAAAAACCTCAATTAAAAGATTTACGCAGAAACAAAACATGATAAACCAATTTCAAAGTGTCATAAAATATTGCTTTGTTTCATAAAATTTAAACTAATGATTCAAGAATAATCAAAGGCGCATGGTTCTCGGTTTCGGAATGAGAATCATTTCAGATTGTTTTTTGCTTCATTAAAAGAATCTCAGAACCACATTACAAGCTGGAATTGTACAGTGTGCATTGAGCCGGATATTGATCTTTCTATGACCTGGTTAAATTGTAGCATCCAGTAACAATACAAATGATAAGGACAGACCATTTCAATACTGCTATTCACACACATGACATAAGGCAAAGTAAAATGCAGTCGTCGTAGCAGTTAAGGTAAGAAATCATTCCAGTGAAGGCTGACATACCTATTTGATGGCGTACACAGATTCTGAGAGTCCATGTCCAACAGTGTTGGAACTTCATCGGGCTGATCGTACATATACATCGTGATCTGAACAAAACAATCCGATGAAAACATGTTATTTGCTTCAAGAAGATTTGCATAAATCAAGATGGATGGAGGTCTACCAGTTGTAGACACTAGGACTTCAGCACATTTGAAGTACAGATATTAGGAAGACTGTAGCAAGATCCATTGTGGAACTGTGGATCAAATGGTGAACAATGATTGGAAACCTCCAAAATGGCTGACATTTTATTCATGCAGGCATGTGACAATGGGAAGGGGGAAGATATCACAGATCATTCTATGTCTAACAAGTTAAACTTACTGTTGGACTTTTTCCTTCAAATTGACAACATTTGACATGTTTGAAGAAATATGTACAGCACATACAAGTACTGTAATGCACACAAAACCCTAACACTGATCAATCCACAGTTTAATGGTTGTCATCAAAATGCAAATTTCAGATTTTGGGCTACTAAGCCCACACTCCCACAATACCTAAGACTTCCAAAATCTTCCATTGTGCAGGAACTTAAAAGCAATGCTCCAGATAGTTCCCAGGATCAAAGCGTAATAAACTAACAGTGCCTGGTCTGCCCTTGTCTCAATTCTGCCAGTACTATAAAAACCTAGTTGTAAATTTTGGAAGATCTGTGAAATTCAGGATTAATTGACGTGGCAGGTGCACCAACTGCATAATAATAGTGAATAGCAAAGAATAAACTCTATTATCAACCCACTGATTCATTCGGCAAACTACATGTATGTTTTGTTTTCAATTTGAGCTTTGACACCTCAAATTTCAAGCTTCATTTTTTTACATTTCAGGAATCATTCCAGGGCCACCCGGGCCACTAAAATAATGACAAAACTCTAACTATTGAAACATTTTGCTGGTATTCTTCCTGAATCATTTAAAATCCTCCACTGCAGGAAACCAATCCAAAATCCTCTTCGAATGAGTGGAAGGTTTAGAAGGATGTACATATTGACTGTCCGCTCTGAGTTGAAGTGTACCGCCAGTGGCTAAAGAAAGGCATTCTGGTGAAAAGTTTTCCAATCCGGTTCTTTCACGTGTTTGGCACACGCACACAGAAAGACCACCCACTCCCGCAATGTAGTTGTAGGGACATACACTGGGTATTTCACCTATTTTCTGGGGACCCAAAACGTTATGGGGACTCAGAAATGTCCTCACAACTCACTTCAAATTTCCCCAACAAAAGAACGTGCCCCCTGAACATTGTGAATGCCCACCCATACATTCAGGCGTAAGTTCATTGCGCGTACTCAGCATGCCATGTGCCAAACAGGTTTATGTATACACTCGCCTGCCTACATGGTACATGTAAGTTCCTACAAATAGACCGCTTTCATTTAAAAACACACCCTCTTCCCGTTCAGAATGGCTATAGCAAAGACCAGTGGCTGATTTCAAGGTCTTGGGCCAAACTTTGTGTTATGCTCTGCCATGCATGAATATAGGCTACACAGCTCAATGTCATTTGCATTACAGTACCTTAACATCTTAACAGATACAGCTGGGTGACTCTGAAGGATTGTTTTGGTGATAACACCCCCACAGAAAATATTCAAGAAATAGCAAGATTTTAAAGGCCTGAGGCTGTATTCAATTTCTATATTGACATGACTGACGAGCTTGGAGAATTTTACAAGACTAAAACTGCATTCTAGCAAAACAAATTAGCAAGTTTGGATTAATTAATAAAAAATCTAACTGCATCCCCCAAAATAGTATCAGTTTGTTTATTACACAATGTTCCAGAAAGATTTGTGTGTGTTGCAATGACAGCTAGACAAAGCGTGTACAATTTTATATATAAAGGGCTGTTGAACTTTGATCAGACTGGGATTCAGTGGGAACATCCAAAACAACATTAAGCCAAACTGACTCACTCTTCAGAAGACAAAATTCTCCAAACTTTCTTGAAGCAAAGACAACATCCTCAAGGTACAAGTAGCATGAAGCCCTTCACCGGGTTAAGGGGAACAATTTCTTTTGTTAGGCAAATGAGGACCAAGTTGTTAGTACATTTCTTTGTCCCCATAACATTTTCGGTCCCCACAAAATAAGTGAAATTACATGTGTTTGTCTCCACAACTACACGTACCGAACAAGTATGTACAATGTATGTACATGTACATTTGTACTTTACCAGCATTCCTAGTTTGAGATCTTAATTACATTTAAAGGAAATTTTTCATCACCATTTGATACCCAGTACAGTAGTGAAGCCAAACAATATCACTTACAGCCTAAGACTGGGTTGGTGCATTTTAAACTTTTACTAGAAGAAAAGATTGACCATTTAGTATTTCAGCATAACTATGAAGAAAGGAAATAGAAATGGAAGTTTGATACTAAATAGTTCTTTTGATGCAGTTGATTGATAATGCAGCAACTAGAGAGTATTGAACAGGTTGTTTCATTTTCCTTTTTCTTGTATGAAAATACACATTTTCATTATTTTACAGTAAGTTTTTGGACCCTCATCATCGGTGCAGACTGACCAACTGCATCCAATAGTTCCATCCAGCTTTGGATTTGGAATTGGTCTTGAGAAGTTTTGACACACACAACAACGCTGTCAACATTGCAATGCACCACATGCATGTGTGCCTTTATGCTAGGAAAGACTTATGAAAGTATGATGAACATGGGAAGAAAGTCGTTTTCTCTCAAGGTACTGCTTGAAATTCTGAAAGCTCAGTTCAATATAATATTAAAGAGAGCATTGCATAAGATCACAAATGTCATTTTGTACGGGTAATATTTTCAAAATCCAAAAGAAAGGAGTGTCCACGTGTCCAAAAGCACAATTATTTATTTGAAGGGAGAAAAAACACATGATTAATTTCAGCACAAACTGACTTAGGCCTAAACAATACCAACCTTTTCGTGTGGAACTGTCGCATTATTTTCTTGTTTAAATAGGCCTATCAATGTACACGTGATCCTGGGCCCTTCAAGTTCAACATGTTCATAATTTCATTTTTCCATACAATAATTTCCCAATTTTTAACAAAAAAATCTCTGTCAAGTTTATTTGGATATTTGATGAAAAATTAATTCTCAATAGATAGGCCTGACTGAAACAAACACACACACCAAACCATGTAGACACGCTGCAGTCATCAGCAACACTACTTTGATACCGTTGCGTACACGGTGCGCCTGTCACAACACAAGCATGTCAGTGAATAGCACAGGCCCTATTCCCTGTTGAAGTGAAACAAAGACATGAATGAACGGATTTAAACTTCTCCCGTTCAACACTTTTCCTTCTTACCTCATGCAAATGTTCACGAATTAATTTCAAGATTTCTGGTTCTAGACATCACTGGACTCAAAATATGACGGCAAAAATTAATGAATCTCATGAAAAATGATGATTTTCTCCTCCCTTCGGGCAATCTAGCGTCCTTTCATTCAGCCATGTTTAAAGCTCCTTGCATTGTAAATTACAACTGCAAGAGCCTTTGCCATTGGACAGTGTCATAAATATTCCTCATTATTTATTGATTTTGGCCAATCGGCATTCTTGTTTCATATGTCCAAACGCACTTTACTGGAATGAGAAAAGCAAACAAACAAGTGTAGCCGCCAAATGCGCTGCGCGCACACACATGTATTCAATCCGTACGTGAGTGCGCACCGTGAATGTGAATGGAAATTTGTACGGCATGTACTGTACATGTACAAGTTGTACTCAGCAGTGGTGGTGAGACAGGTTACGGAGAGCCTACCCTTGCAAGCTGGGAGCTTCTCATTTTGTTCGTATCACAATTGTCAACATGTATCGGTCAAAAGTAAGTAGCCCCCGAGCCCTTTTTTGTTGTATGGTTAAAAGGTTGAATATGAAGTTTGATCTGTGTGGAAACAGAAAGTTTTCAACAAGCAAAATTCGGCCTTACGTCTAGTGTCAGAACATTGTAACCGATAAGGGGTGGGCGTGGACCGCGGTGTGATGGGTGGGGAGGTGTCGAAGCCATAGGTTTATAACACTGTCCTTGGTCACCCAAAACTGGGCTAATATTCGCAGCTGCTCTGCCCAAGACAAAGGTATAGAGCAAGGACTATCATGTCTATCAATGGTATTATAAACATGTTGTCACTGTACTGCACAGAACTAGTGGAAACAAATTAAACGTTTGACATTCAGTGTTGAACAAGTAACTGTTTGATATTCAAATTTTGAATAAGTAACAGGTTGACATTTAGGATGCACATCCCTAAAAGCAACGGAGTGCAATAGGGACAAAAACAAACTTTGCCATCCATATTTTATCAGGGCTTGTTTGACCCTGAAAAACCCCATGCTGCGGGTTGCAAGGAGTCGACAACGATGATTGAGGAGAAGACTGATATCAGATGGTGTGGTGTGATGCATTCACTTTTCCACTCTGGTTTTCAAGCGAAGAATTCTACCGACGACGAGACTTTCGTCAATACTGTTTGGACCGTAAAGAACTGTCTTTGCCCTGGTTGAAATGGAGTCAACAGAATTACTAAAGTGTAGAGAAACACTGGGAAAACAAGTTAAGAGCATGGGCATGGGATTGATGTGTATTATTTCGATTAAGTGAGATTGATAAAAGCATCCTGAATATCAAACAGTTACATGTACTTGTTCAATATTGAATGCTGAACGTCAAACAAGGAATTAACTTCACATTGGTAACTAGAGGCCTATAATATAAAGAATGATTTGCATCAAAGCAGTCTTTCAGATTTTTTTCTCCTAGAACTTGCACAAGGAGAGTTTCATATACATATGCCAGTAATTCACAGAGACCTATTAGCCATCAGAAAGCAAAAACATGTCCAGAAAAGTTCAATTTAGGAAGGAAAATACCAAGTTGTTTACTTAGAAAACAGTAGAATTTTTTAATCAGTCTCATAGCAGCGTCCATATATGAAACTCTTTCTCTTACTGCATTTTTGCAGTGAAGAGTATTTTATGGCCAGTGATGATGTTGGATATCCTAGTAATTGGCAGTTATGTTCTGTGTGACACTGCAATATTTTTTCACTGAGTGAAATACATAGGATTTTGCTCTAAATGTGGAGTGAGTTAGTATTCAAAATTTTATCGCAAGGGAAATTTCATTTTTAGAATTTTGTTTCAGTTTCAATTTTCCCCTGTACATAGAGCACCCACCCATGATCAACCAGATAGTTGCAGTTTGGTATGTTAGCCTCAGTTCGAATCCTTAAAACTTACAAATTTATGTTCTTGTTTATTCTTGATCAATTAATTAATGTCGTTTTTGGGGAGTCATGCAAACCAAATTTTAATGCAGAACTCTCATTGTCTGCATTCTGCACATGTTCCAAAGACCACGGGAATGAAAAGCACATTGATCAATTTTTAAAGTAAATTGGAATTTGAGAGAAAAGCTATCAAACAGGCTAAAAAACTGTGTGTTAACTAAAGAATTATATTCACTGGACCAGTCATTAAGTACAGACTAGCACAATCTTGGATGGAGTACATCAGAGCAAGTCGAACCTAGTGGCTCATTGTACTTAACGTAAACATATTTTGAAAATCGTTGTTTTAAGAAATACTTTGACACATCAGCATTGCTGATTTTGTATCAATCTAGACCATGCCCAAATCCAGGGTCTGGGAGGGATGGGATTAATCTAAACACTTAAGCTTTCTGAATCTGCCAAAATCATCCAACACTAAACTACATGTTAATTAACTGTGCATGCTTTGTACTCAAAAGAAATTGGAACGTGAAATTCGTTGTAATAGTGGCTGAATTGTCCTGAATCCATTAACATAAATTCCATATTCTGCAAAACCAGATATTTAGTGTTGGGGGATGATATTAGACTCACAACTTAAAAAAAAGGCTTTGTACATGTATGTATTTGTCATTTTTGCTGGTACTAGTTAGTTAATAAACTCAACTCCATTGCAAACAGGATCAGCTTTTTTAGTTTGTGGCTATGCATGAGACACTCGATAACCATATTAACCGTGTGCTTTAATTGTTACGGGCATACGGGTACTTAACTTGCCAACTTTACGATTGGAAGCACTAATATGGTAATAAATGGGCGTGGTGATTTGACTGCAAACAAATGAAGACACTATGTTTCCACCCGTGATGACATGAAGTTGTTTGTGTGCGCTTTACCGAATTTGCCCTACAGTATCCAGATGATCCCGGAATGCACAACATTGGTCCTCATCACAGTGGTGACCGGCACACTACCGTCAGCTACAAACCCAAGACGACGCTGCTGGAACGCATGTCCGAAAGTTTCACCGGAGCAATGCTGGGCGTGGGCATGTTTATTGTCTCCTTCTTCATCCTTTTTCTGAATGAAGTGAGTCATCAAAGTGGTTAAAAGTAATGCAAATCCTGTGGAGATTGCGGGTTCTAGCTGTCACTCACTGTTTATAGCCAGAGGTTTATGCATACAGTACAACATAATCTGTGGCTGCAATTTGTGCAACTGACGAGGACAAAAATTAAGCACTGTACAAAAAGTTAACTGGCTGTACAAAAAATGCATTTTGCTAAAACTCAATTTGCCCACTGTTGACAGTTTGCCACCTATCTTTCCAGGGCAAAGCAGTACAGACAGCCCATTCCTTGGATGAGGGGTTACGTCTTGTCGTACCGATTCCAAACAACAAAGTCATCTTTCAGGAAAATAACTACAAGTTGGTGCATTTGACAGGGAAGTTGAGAACAGACCAGGTAAATTTGAGTTTCCTCTTATGGTAAGGTTACTCCCTCAAAGGTTAAATCTATACAGATCGGCACTGCAGTTAATTCACTTGAATCTGGTCAGTCATCTGGCAGGCACATTTACATTTCTGTCATTACATTCCTGTCCAGTTTGATTGTTTTGGCATGAAAATCAGTGACTTGAGGATTACCAACTTCCAGAGATATAACAGATAACAGATATATTGCAGGCTTCTCCATTGAAGTAGGTAAAGCAGGTACCTATTTCTACTGTTTAGATGAGAGAGGTGAGTTACATGTAGGGTGGAGTGGCTTGCCTGGGGATGATAGATTCAAACCCCTCGCCCTATCTGTGAAACACAAGCCACTGGGCCACATTCCCTACATCACTGGATGGACAGGTACTTGTTGTTCAATAATTGGAAAAATCAATTTGTTTCTGTAATCAATTAAAACCTTTGTTGTGTCTTTGTTCCTAGCCACTTGTAGATTCCCTCTTTGACGTGAGCATGCAGGCTGTGAAGCTTCGGCGGGACGTTGCCATGTATCAATGGGTGGAACACCAGAAGCAACGGGAGATAGATGAGGGCTCGGAGATTAGGATGGAAACAGATTACATGTACAGTGAGTAAAGTTAACATGAGACCATGGGTGCTTCATCAACATTTATAAGTTGAAACCCGCTCTGTGGTTGAACCGTAACCCTACCAGAGCCATAACTTGATTTCAAGTCAAAATAACAGGTGTGACTTAATTATGCCTTTCTTTTTCATACAGCTAAAGAATGGAAATCGCATGTTGTTGATAGCAATAGCTTTGATAACCCTGCTCATCATCAGAATCCAAAGTGAGTACACATGACCATGTTGTTGACTCAAGCAGGCCAATTTTGAGCTAGTTAAGGCAGAAAACATTGTTAATTTTTTTGAAATGTGTATAGTGTCTTTGGTGAAAGGCAGAATGCATGTGAACTCTTTACATACCCATTGTTTATAAATGCACAACTAACCATTGATTTGTGCGCATTCTGTTGTAAATTAGTCATCATACCCCATGTCTTTCAAACACATGAACAATTGAAGAAGGCAAGTTTTTCTTTGGTTTTTAGGAATAGGCCACTCTACCATCTTCAGGTTGTACATTCTGCCTGTATAGTGGAGATATCGATTAATTGTTCATTTCCTATTTTGAAGTACCAAAACTTGAACATTTTTTTATTCACAGAGAAATGCTAGTGCGTCCAATGACCTTTGTGGCAATACACGCTTACGTAGGCAACTACATGCTGAAGGATAGTTTGAAGGAGAAAATCGACACATTCAAGCCGTATGTTCCAAGCAAGGAACCAACCAACCCAAATGTGAAACTCGTAGATGGGATATTTTACCAGGCAGAAAATGCATTCAGGCCTAAGGCAAGCAGCACAGATATTGTACAATTTATAAACCTGTACTGGGTATTCCTTATTTTCACTTTTGAAAGCTTACATGTACATGTATGCATACGTGTAATCTTGTAATAGATTAATGATGGAAGTAAGAGAAAAGATTAATGTGAAATAAACTAAAAAAAAACTTTGAAAGATTTATATCTTTCATTACGAAAGAAAAAGAACTATCATATGTAAGTTTTCATTGCAGAGCGTACGGACCTTGCTGACAAATGATTTTATCTTTTCTGTTTTTAACGTAATGTGCTAAAAGTTTATTGTGGCTTTTTTAATACCCATGTGGAAAGGTTTTTAGATACTACTGAGTTTGTCCAAAGTGAAATTGGATTTCAGGTCAAAGATTGTCCCATAATTCTCTTTAAAAAGTTATTAAAATTATGTCCTAAAAACTCAGATAGCCTCATTTTGGAGAAGGCATCATGTCCTTTCTGTTCCTTAATCTCCCAATGTGAATACCTAGTGTAGGATGCTTGCCCCTCAAAACTGTTGTAGCAAAAAGAGTCTGTTTTTACAATCTCTGTTTTGAAATGTTTACCATGTGTAGTCTGGAGTATTACCCTATATGGATTGTCCATACGTCACAAACCTCATGCAAGGCTGACCAATCACAAGGCCTTTTCTAGCAGCCTTCAAAAGATTGGGTGTTTCCATGACACAAGGTGCTTTTCTTGCTGGAGCATATGAAACAAAAACACTGACCGGAAATTTCTGTTTGCAAAAATTTCATTGGCTGTTTAAAAAAAACCATTACAGACATCATCTATACGTTCTAAAACTGGTTTGTACCGATGCATTAAGAAATTTATTGTTGTCAACTTGAGATAACGTTATAACGTTAAAGTTAGACAAAAATTACAGTATTTTTTCACAATGACAGCCAAAACATGGTCAGTGGGGCACAGGGAGAGTTCACTATGCCCATATGTGGTTGTATGCCTGACTGATGTTTCCAAGACTGATGTGTCCAAGGCTCATCAACCTTGTAACCAGCTGGTTGAATTAGGTCAAATTGGAGCAGTTTGTTTGTTTGTAGGTTGGTGACATGAGAGTGACCTTCAGCTACGCCGGACTCAGCGCTCATGAGGACTCTCCTCTTGGACCACCTGATACAGTGAGTAATGTTGTTATGACTCATGCATATTCATCAACAATTTATGCACTTCTCTCATTGGTCGAAACTACATAGCACTAGTGAAGTTTGAACAGCTCAGTTTGGGAATGCATTGGCAGCTCAAAATTCTTGGTTTATAATACTTATTGTCCAGTAAACCTTTTTTGAAATATCGAGTGGTAATGGGTGAGGGTAGTCTTATATTAAGTCAACCACTGTTGGCGCATGCATTTGACCATGATCAGTGTTCACAGTCTACTTGGGCATTATCTTCCTTTAGTTTTGGTGATGTTTATAAGAACTTGTTTTGACTGTACTTTGCAATTCATTATGAATTACCTATACTTTTTTCCTGTGGGATTGTGAAAGTGTTGCAAAAATGAAGGTCGTTGCTAAGTATTTTGATTTTGGCTGACTCAGGTTAGCATTATGGCAAAGCAGTCGGGAAACCAGCTGACAAAGTACCAGACAGAGGCAGGAGATTCACTGGAACTGGTTCACTTTGGAGATAAAACAGCTGAGGTGAGCCCAAGATTTCAAGCTAAAAGATGACATTCGGGATTTCGATCTAAAGTGTTGCACAGATAAGAAAATCGGAAGTAACCGATCTGCCCTGATTCAGCCAGGTTGAATATGTTTTACAGAATCTTTGAGTTTTGGTTTTGAGATGAATGGAGTGAAGCATTTCGAAATAAAAATGGAAAGAGTCTGATAGTGTCAAAGGAATGAAAGAGGAAAGAGCTCTTTTCAGTAAATGCCACAACGACTCTTGAAACAGTTTCAACCACACCAGTGAAATGGCAGTTGCTCATTTACTCATGCACTCAGCTTTACTTAAAATTATAATGATGTGTATCATAAGCTTGGGCATTACAAATATCAATTGAACGTACCCATTCACAGACTTAGACTTAAATACTCAAAGATAATCAGATCAAATCTTAACCTCTAACTCACAACATGACCAGATTATATGAGGGCATTTACAACTTTAACAGCACAAGCCAAGATTGGTTATTTCCACATGTGCATTTTGCATGGATGTCTTTAGTAACGGGAATTATGTAACCTTGTTGAATGACACCAATCCCTTTGGTGTCTCCTTTCCTGTCCCTCCTTAGGAGATGATTAAGGATGAGTTGTATGCAAGCAGCGTTCTAACCTGGACATTGCGGGGTGGCGGCTGGCTACTCATGTTCTTGGGCTTGAACTTCATGACAAACATTCTGTATACAATAGGTGAGAAGTTATACAACGTGCATTAATTTCATTTACACCAAGATGATTAGTTGGACATTCAGCAACAGGCCATCGAAATAACACGTCACTCAGCGTCAAATTGCCTGGTCCAAGTTTTCAATTTCATTTTCTAATGTACTGTTTGTGAAAGTCTGGCAATGCATTGTTTGCCGTGGATGTGATCTCTGGCAGGGGAGATGTTAAGTCAAATGTTTCTTCATTTATCCATTTTTCTCTACCCTTTTTTTCAATTGGAAAGCGAAATCACATTACATTGGATACAGATTTTGGCTGTTTTTTGCTAACAAAGGTTGATTGATCAAGTCCAGAACCTGTTCTGTATCATAGGACTGGGTGAAAGCCAACATTGAAAATAACTTAGCCAAAATCTCAGAGAGTAAACAAGAAAGGTTTTGAAAGTTTTGGTTGAGAAACTTTAAAATGAACCAGAACACATGCATTTCAGTAATTGTTATCAGTAATTTATTCCCAGCATCAGCAATCAAGATTAACAGACAATAACTTTGTAACTAATTTTGACATCCGAAGGTTGTTAGGGGGCAACTGTATTGACAAAATTAAATGCGTTTCTCACCATGGCCTTTTTTAACGTCTGCTTTCTTTGATTAGGCTAAGGGTTCCTGTTATGGGTACCTGAGTGGTTCCTGTTACGGACACCTGAGTGGCTCCTGTTACAGGTACCATCCTGTTATGGGTACCTGAGTGGTTCCTGTTACAGGTACCTGAGTGGTTCCTGTTATGGGCACCTGAGTGGTTCCTGTTACAGGTACCATCCTGTTATGGGCACCTGAGTGGTTCCTGTTACAGGTACCATCCTGTTATGGGCACCTGAGTGGTTCCTGTTACAGGTACCATCCTGTTATGGGCACCTGAGTGGTTCCTGTTACAGGTACCTGAGTGGTTCCTGTTACGGGCACCTGAGTGGTTCCTGTTACAGGTACCATCCTGTTATGGGCACCTGAGTGGTTCTTGTTACAGGTACCTGAGTGGTTCCTGTTATGGGCACCTGAGTGGTTCCTGTTACAGATTCCTGAGTGCCCATATTTTATTCTACACAGTAACTAACACTCACACTACCGTCAGATCATCAAATTTTTAAACTATTGATTGATTGTTTTGGCTATCTCCACAGTTGACTGGATTCCGTTGCTCCGTACACTGGTACGCGTTGGCCTGACTGCTTTCAACCTGAGTGTGTCAATCTCCCTGAGCATCATGACCATAGCTCTTGGTTGGCTGTGGTATCGCCCATTACTCTCTCTCACACTCCTAGCTGTCAGTGTCCTACCCCTAGTCTACTCCTACGTCAATGGGACCAAGGTTAAACACAATTCACAGGTTTAGCCAACAGCTCTGGTAGTGTCAACAGTGTACTAAAAAGAGCATATCAACTTGAATTTTAGGCATACGCTTCCCTTCAGTGATATGAATGCAAAGCATTGCTATCAACGGAGGGCCATTTGCAAGTCATAGCTCCTCAGTTGGTTTCCCACTGTTAACTGTTGAAACTGTGGTGCTGTCTCACATCCATTTGATTCTTAGTAGCAAAAAGGAGTGCGGCATTGAGGAGGAGTGTCTCAACTTGAGACTAACTTCATTAAAGTGAAGACCGGAGAGTAAGCAATTTGGAAACCCTTTACCTTCAATTTCTGAGCTTACAGAGCCCACTGTAGTGTGTTTGGAGTTCTTTATTTACTTTGAAAAAAGTTTACTTTCCCCATTTCATGTCAGACATGGAAAAGGTGATATGTAATCTTAAATGGCGCAAGGGAATACAACTGTATCTTGGCATCACAGAGCTTGCTCAGCGGACTTCCTTTGGAATCAGGATCCAAGAGCTTAACCAGTAGAGCGTCATTGGAGTTCAGTGACTAAATAACCTTCAAAGAATGTGACAGTGTGTAAATTTAATTATGGATATGGCCAATGTGGGTAAGTTAATCGAGATTCCTGACAAAAGTGGGAGGGTAATCTTTTCCTTGGCCTTTGTGAAGTCGTTGCATTTTCCATGGCATTTCAGTCACAGCATATCTGTTGCAAGTGCTTATTGCTAGCACATGTAACTTGTACTTTTGCAGAACAGTCAACACACATTGTGTTTCAAAAGCTGCCTAGTGTTGCAAGCTATAACCTTGGGTAACAGGTTGGATTTCAAGACACGAAAGCTGGTGCGCAATATCATTTGGCAGCAGCCAACACCACGACTGTTTACTGTTTATATATACTCATGTCTTGGGTAATAGTTAGGCTAGGGTGCTGAAACTTTATCCAAGGGAGCGACACCCAACCGGGAGTATTGAAACCTGTCTAGGGTGAAAAGAGCACTATTCTTTTGTCAGCAGAATGGAATGGCAGAGAGGCGTCAGTAATGTTCCCTCAATACCTGTTGTGAATATTAACAGTGAAAGAGTTCCTATGCAAAAGTGGTGTGCTTGTCAGCAACACCCACATAATGAGGTCATGCATGGTGTTACAAAAGCATTACTTCCACTATGGCATAGAAATGGTTAGATAAAATAGTTTGGAGTCCTGAGTCTTTTTCTGAGAGATGTCTCTGTGATGTTGGTTTGATCTTTTTCTTTCTAACAGGATTTGGTTTTTGATTTCAAATTTCATGTGTGGATTTTGCAAACTTGAGATAATGCACAGATTGAACGTCAAAATATTTTGCTTGTGTCCTTGTACTAAAATGCATTGCCAACTTAACAGTGACATTGAGGTTAGGTGTATTACTTTTGAAACGTTTGAATCATGTACATTCCAAAAGTCTTTTATATGTTTACTCCATTTGGAAAAGACCGAGTCTGAAATGGGTACTGTTCTCTGTGGCTACAGCTACTCACTGTGGCACACTTATGGTAAAAACCAAGCCTTAGCCACTGAACGTGATTTGGGATTTAGCCTATTGATAAACAGAATCCTGTGCATATGCTGTGAATCAAGACGTGGCATAAATGCAGGGAACAGTACTTTTGTTCATTTTTTCTGCTGTGAAATGTTAACACTTTTATTTTCACTTCTTAATTCCACATTTTAAGATTTGGCCATACAGCTCTGGACAGCATGTCCAAAAAGGCAAACTGTATATTTTTGTACCTTTTCTGTTTATGTATATTTTGTTACTATTGTTGCTGAGTTCTCTGGCTGAGGCGATTTGGTTGCAATTAAGAACGTTGTCTAAATATTCCAATTTGATATTTCCCATATGTGCATTTTGTCATATTTAGTTTCTATATTAGTTATTAGAATTTTATTATTTTACCTTTTTTCCTTGATTTTGATATTTCAAGTGAAAATACTGCACTTTTTGGCAGCTGCAAGTGTGCCAGATTTCAACTCTATGACAGTACGCTGTGTAGGCTGAAGTAGATTGCACAAATTATGCACAGACATTTAACCCAATACTCAAGAGATGCAAGGTATCACCTTATCTTATCAAGAAAGTCATTAATATTTAAAAGCTGGGATTTATTTTAGAAAGACTTTTCTGGAAGTGTGTTTATTACCCAAAGCTCTTAGAGACCAGATCTAGTTGAGGATAAAACAGATCCAGTCCATTCTCACAGCAATCGAGGAAACGGTCTGAAGAATAGTAAAACTGAACTATGTCAACTTGTCTGCTATTTCCAAAATGGCAGGATTGCAAGATGCTGTACAGTACCCAGACTTGCCAGCAAGGCGATTTGTCTGTCTTTACTTCAGACTATATCATTCCTACTTTTGTACATCAGAGAACAGCTAATAGGAATTGTCCACCCTAACTGGAAACTTTTACCAGGACGTTTCCTAGATTTACTCACTACTACACAATTGTCATGGCAATAACACGCATTTTATTGAGCAAGCCACGTCACCCTTCAGCAAGTTCCAATACTGAATATAACACAAAAAGATCTCTCTCAAATGACGTCACTTCCTAGAGATTGCCACGTGTATCAGCATTTTTTTACATCAAATTTTGGGACGTGCATCGGCCGCACTATTTTTGGAAGATATTTGGGTCAGCACACACGCAAGTACAGTATAGAACATGTGCACGCCGCGCACGCCACGCACTTGTTAATGTTGTAAATGCTGTTATAATTTTCCTACAAAGATGGCATCCAATGAGTGAGATCTATATCATTTGCACAGGTTCACCGTCTATATACAGGCTAATCTTAATTGAAGTACATATGTAGTTGGGATGAAAGTAACTTATCACAAGCATCAATACAATTCACTCAATTAATGCTCGTTGATTACATAATGCCATATCAATATCTCTTTGCAGTAAGCCGATACATGATTAATGAGTGAAGATTCTCAAAATGTTAAGCAAAATTTAATTACCACAATATTCCTAATGGAAGTAGGATGTGTGTCAAATCAGATTGAAATTGGACTGAAGACTGTTGGGGGTGATAGAAATCTGGGGTGATCCAACAGAAATAAAAATTCTTGAGCCAGGGTGTAGTAAATGTGGAATGACTATGTAGAATTAATACACTAGATCAAATGTTCTAGTAACGTTAATCAAGTACACTGTTTAGGATAGTACTATTTGCAACAAGTGGGTTAGTTTGAAAAGTTCATATGCTACTTTCTCTTAAATTGTGCATGCAACTTTCTAATTTTAAGTAATTAAGTCATTTGTATTAAAATTTTGGCTCACAGTTTTGACATCAATCCATTATTTTAATAAGGTGTTGTCCTTTGATGACCAACTGTGGAGCCAAAGGTCCTCACAGACAAAAATCACTCTAAATGTCACCCACCACTCAAAATAAAAACCTAAACGAGGTCATGTTGGCTGTAGATATTTTTGTACGTGTATTACTAACCAGCTGTCATACCACTTAAACTTGTTCCAAAGTACAATTTGTGCACACCCTTGGAAATAATGGAAAAAGAACCACGGCAGAATACGGGTGATTCACAATAGTGCACCTCCAAGAGTTTGCAATGCATTGGCCAATCACAACACTCAAAATTTGTCAACCCTTTTCAAACACGCAGTGGGTCGACAGATTTTCACTTTGTGATTGGCCAACGCATTGCAAACTCTTGAAAGCGCACTATTGTAAAATGCCTGTATTGGCACTGCCATGGTAAAAGCAGAAAAAGCGTAGAATCGTTGGATGAGGAATCACAATATGAGCAATACGTAGGCTTAAGAGTTAGTTTTGTTTTCAGTAACTGGCTGTTCTAGGGTCATCTAGAACTGAAGTGAGAAAAAATACAATGCTGACATTTAGAGTGTACATATTTCTGGAGGAATGGTAACTATTTCAGGACAGCTGAAATACTGTTTCAATAAATATGAATATTGTTTGATTCCCTGATTGTTCAATTATATTCTTTATGATGTCTTTGTGAAATGAACGTCATTTCTCGGCATTTCTTACATGAAATAGAATTACTCACATAGTAAGTTGAGACCTCACTGATTGTTTGCTTCAAGCTAATTATAAACAAATATCCTGCTTCCTAATAATCATCACATGTGAAAATTTGATTTTTGTATTCAAATAATTTTTGTTCCAGCTTGATGCATCAAATTTGGAACATGAAGATTTTCCTTTCGAATAGCCAAGGTTGTGTGGGCAGCCAAAGCAAATAGAAACAACTGCACCTTTAAAACCGAAATGGCCAGAATATCTTGTCTCATTCTGAAAAATGCGAGTGATAGCAAACATGGTTAACTGGCTTTTAATTGATCTTTGACAGACTACATCTACTGAAATGATGTGCATATAAATAGTATGATACAATGCAAATACAGTAATGCAATAAGATCCATGAAGCAGCAAACTACACGACAATATGCAGTCCACGTAGAGACATGTACATTGATTTATGAATATTTACAAATAACCAATAAGTTTGTACCTGAGGGTAAAATACAGAACCACGTTCTCAATTTATGCCACATCTAGGATGTGGCCATTATATCAAATAAATATTTACAAAAATGCAGTGATTGTGAATAATAACTCGGTCCAGATTGAGTAGCAGGCCTTTTCACACTACTGCCTCACCTACATGTACCTGTTGCGGCATCCAAAAATGGGTCAGTCATGAGCTAATCTGGGTCAGGTCAGATTAAACTGGTTGGCACAACAAACCGTTAACAAATATTGGTTTATACATTGCTAGGGAATCTCATTTCTGATCCTTACTACATGTAGTGCTAATTAGACCCATCTACAGGCCATGATGGATTTCCAAAATTGCAAGGTTTGATTCTGGTTCAATACGACGATATAAGATAGTGTGAAAGGGCCTTATACGTGAAGCAGTAACTGCTCATTGCATTGTCGCACAGTAATAACACATTGCAATAATACATGTACATGTCATAATTGTAAGCACTTCAAACAAGCATCATGCATGTTTGCAAGACAGTCAAACAAAAGAACACTGCATAGTCAACCTTCAAAACACCACCGGCGTCTGAAGCTGCTTCATCTCAAAAAATTGATCATGCAACAACGACCAATTAAAAAAAGGCTACCATGTAGAACAATTTGGTGGTCTCATTTTTGTGAAGACTGAAATGTAACAATTTTTGGCACATATCTCTTTGCACTCAAGGGCATGCACTTCGTAAGCAATTCTACTTTCCACATGATTATTACATGTTTCCAGTGCCTCTGTCTTTTTTTGTCTTGTTCAATTTTGGCAGAATTTTTCTCAATGTATCTTGTGTTTCTTTGTTTTGTAAATCAACTAAACCATCCTTCATTAATGCAAAAACCTATAATGATTAAGGAAATTGAATTATTTGATTCTTTGGTTAGTAACAGTCCTGGTAGTATTTGGTGTGAATGAATGAAGAATGTTTTAACGTAATGTCTGGCTCCAGTTGACTGGGTTGTAACGCAGCAACTCGACTTCACTTTGGTTGGAGTGTAATCGATTCAGTTTCCTTTGTTGTTCTTTTAATTCCATTAACTGCAAGACGAAAAACAAAAAGAGTGAAAGAATGCAGTCCAGAAAACAGCTTCCTAAAACACAAATGAAAGCATGGGGGGGGGTAATCTATTTATTTCCATATAGGCACATGTAACAGAGTGTCTGAATATCAGAAATTAATAACCACTGGGAACACTCCAAACATTCTTTGCTTGCCTGTTGACCTCAGCAAATCCAACCAGCTCTTAAACACTCACCCTTTTGTTCTCGTCTCTGAATTGTCGGAGGAATGCCGACTTCTTCTGGAATGCTACCTTGTCTTCCTCCAAGCATTTCTTGTCAAAGTTGATGGCACGGTCGCTCTCATCCATGCGTTCTAGCAAGTATCGTCGGTATGAGTCTTCTCGCTCTGACATCTGGCTCTTCAAGACTTCCCTTGTGTCTTTCCTAGATGGTGAATGGAGCAAATAAGACTCAAACATTTCAGGAAATAAAGACTCTCATAACCAATGCTCAGTTGTAACATTCCTTTTTGTAGTTGTATGTATTGATATTGCCCCCCATAAAATTTGTCAAGTGGTATTTTCTTCTGAGATACTGAAATGGCCATATGGGTGTTGTCAAAGTAACAAAAGCACTCAGACACGGACACAAGAGAAACAAATTTCACATAGGGGAAAAAAATACATTTCAATTGCTTTTGAAAAACTTGAGCAGAAAATTCATTCAACATCGTCTTTTTGTCTTATGAATGCTGTCAAATGCCATTTTTATATTTTGATAAAATATATTAACATACATGTTAATATTTATCAATAAATAAATGATACTACATGTATCATCATAAATTAAATTGTCCTTTCACATTGAAATATATATCCTGATTCATCACACTTGTGAAATATGAATTTTCATAGTTTTGCCATTTAATGAAGAGCTCAATCACAAGGCAAACTGGATGCATATTCATGTATGCAAATTACTCAACTTGGAGTCACATTTATTTTTATCATGTACTCATTGCTTTCTGAAATCTTTTTATAAACATGTCGTACTTTTCACCAGATGATCGGTCATGAATAATGTTTAAACCATGGGAAAAATGTATGGCTGATGTTTAGTGTCTCTCGCTGATCACATGTAAGACATTACATGTACTTCTCCCCTCCTTGAAAATTGCTTCCCGTTTTGTACACAGAATAGAGTTTTATGTTTATCTGGAAAATGTTTTCTTGACGGTGCGGTCTTTTTGACATGAAATACCATAAGCATCACAATAATACACGAAAGCTTGGTCAGCATGGCAACAGAAAAATGGACAAGGCATGAACATAACAGCCATAAATGATTAATGGCCTCTATCCAAACCATGTGCAAGAGGAATTAATTTAAATACATGAATGGATGTCAGATATTAACCAGGCTTTGGGCTTTGCTTTCAGTATTTTAAGTACTTGGAATAAACAGTACATGTAAGTTCAATTAATTATAATGGAGAGATATGGCACAATGTGGTATCTGTGGACTTGCTGCCTCGCTTAAATTAAACAAATAATATACAAATAAAGTTGAAACGTGTCCAGTTATGATGGAAGACAATTTCTGCACTGAGTGATAAGTGAAACTATAACAAGGCACATAAAAAGAAATGTAGTCAGTCACTAAACCAATCAAGTCTGACAACATAACATTCATAATTTCCTTTCTAATTAAGTTAAAAATAATCATTTATCCAGCCCTTCCATCCAATGCCAAGTTAATAATTCAATTCAGTACAATTTATTCTGTATATCTAATTATATATAAATATTTATACACATCTAAAAATACATACAAACATCAGGATCAATTTACATATTAGCCCTTATTAGTTTTGGAGATTTCTAAAGCTTGTATTGGGTATTCCATATCTGTCATCTTGAATCAAATCTCACATTAAGTTTCAAATCTCAGACTCATCTAGTGTTAAATGTAACTCGTAATTTGATGCACTGCATCAAATCTTTTTCAAGAATGGTGTGTGTACTTTCCCCATTGCCACACTACAGTCACAGTGTGTATCTGGTCATGTATGTGCCTATTTGTTTGCACCATTTGTCCTGCAACATTGTGCAGTTCATTTGGCAGTTCTAGAAATTTCTAGAAATTCAAGTTAATGTACAATTTTTTTCTCGGCTAAAGTTATGTACATGTACATGTAGCTGCATTGGTGAGCTCCAAAACAAAAGTAGAGGGACGAAAATTATCTGACAAGTTGACAACTCCTAGCAAAGAAACCCAATTTTATAGGTCTTATCCTTTGTCCCTCCTTCCTCAGGTGCATAATCCTATTTCTGGTGTTTAGTTTTCAATGATTGTGTTACTTATCAGGAACTATGTGTGAAACAGATTTAATTGGGTTAACCACTTAATACCATTGCTTGTAAAATGATTGTAGAACATTGAGGATTATCCATTGACCAAATGGAAGAGGATTGATAATAGCATCCATAGGGATGGGCAAAAGTGCCCCATTTTCTGCCAGCTGACAACAGCTCATACATAAAAGCCAACATAAAACAAACACACGTGCCTTTTCATGAGAAAAATTAACCAGACAATTGAACTGTCAGTATATGTGATGTGATCTGCAAAACCCTTCACATGGGGACCTTTATCCTTTTGGTTCATATCAACTTCAATTGATCTGGATACTGTCCTTTTTTCAAAACTGTTTAATTCATGATTCTAGACAATCTATTCATACTGTAGACAACCTAGAATCATAAATGTAACTAAAAACAAGAGTATGTCCATATTAATTTGAAGTTTATATGCATCCAGAAAACAAAGCTCACCATGTGAAGGGTTTTGGCAGTTCACATCACATTTGGAGTCTTACACTTACACTTGACATAGCACAAACACTTATGTGCCAGGTTTTCTTTGAGGTAAGCAGAGGGTGGAGCTAATTGAATATTTAGGGGCAAGTTTAAAGTTCCAGTCCCCCACCCTCCGTAGCCTAACAGCACAAAGAAAACAATACTTAGTGCCATCAATTATCACAGCTCCGCAGCTGATTTCACGAAACGTGGCGTAACTTTGACCCATGCGTAAGCCTTGCGCCACAAATGCGCAATATGCTTACGTTCAATTTCATGAAAAGTTGCGTAGATGCGCAAAGTTTTAATAATATTACATTTCTTGGACGAGGACAAAAACAGGTGTTACGACGGCTGTTCTTTTCCAATATAACAGCAGTCATCAAACAGTCGTTGAATCACATCCGCCCACCATTTTGAACAAGTTTTCATTTTTTCTTTGTCCGAACCGGGCAAAGTTTCTCAGTTTTCTCAGAGCCAAACAAATTTATTATTACCTTCTGGAACAAAGCTGTTCGTTTCTCGTATAATCCTTGATAAGTTCAGCAATGACAAGGCTTAACAGGACCTGATAAGCAAGTCAAATCATTTATTTTCGCATCGTTTGGCGCGACTTACCGCCACCTAAACTGACCGTGCAAGTTACACCATAATTTGTTGCATAAGTCGTGGACTTACAAAATGCGTAAGTTTCGTGAAATTGGTCTTAATTTGTTGTGCAACATACACAATAAAGTGCGGCGTAAAGTTTCATAAAACTGGCTGCTGGTGTGCTTAGTCTCAACAGTCGTCATTCCTTCACCTGTTAGGGGTTTGAGGGCTGTTGGGGTGAATGTTCAGCACAGTTATTCATGATGGAGATTCGACATTTGGCGGCCGTAGCCACTTAAATTTATACCTAAGACTCACTCTGTGGTATCTGGTCATATGCCTTACCTATAGACCTCTTGCTCCACCTTAGATCCATAGAATGGCTTCATCCACCTGTTGTGAGATCGGTGGTACTGTTCTCTCTTCATCAGTAAACTTCTGAGTTCATTCTGATAATGTGCATCTGTTGTCTCTAGAGTCACTGTTCGGCCTAGCCGCTGGGGATGGAGTGGGTTTATCCGGGGCAGGGATCTGTTCCCATTGGCTGTCCGTGACAACCTCTCATCCCAGGATCTGGACAAGCCCTTGCCCTTACTAGAGTCTTCAATAAACGTCTTAGAGCTGGAACGGCGAACCATGGAGGGAGCTATTGATGAAGGCACCACACCCACCGGCGTCTCTTGAGTAGTCAATCTGGGCAGTGTCGTCATGGTGCTCACTGGAGCAGACATCTTGCTGTACTCACTACTCACCGGGCACCAGGGCCTATGAAAAGTTGAAAAGAAAAAGCTGGAGCTAATAACATGACCCTCTCAACGAGGACTCAAAAGATTTACCATCCAGCCTGGTTTTTGAGCTGGCTCATGTACAAGTAGGTGAACGTACATGTACAAGTGGGTGTATGCATGACTTGTCTAAACTGCATAGGAGTTGGTCAGTGTACAAGTTGCCTTGCATATGAGTTGACCCAATTTGTCTACAGGTATGTTCGCTAATGTCTGCCAGGATTAATATTTCTCCTTAAACATTTTGGAAAATGGTATCAGAAATGAAAATGTATCACACAAGACCTACATGACATTTCTATTATTTCATGAAGTGTCTGAGTCTTCTTCAAGAAATACTGAAACATTTGGCAATGATGAGATCAATCCTATTGCTCCTATATGTAACTTTTGTCAAACTGAACAATGTGACAAGAACACAGATACATCGAAACATCCCTCTGTTGGTTGTGAACAGAGACACAGTTAGTGGAGAGTCAACAACACTTTTGACAAAGTAGGGAATAGAAAACTAGGGGCCTGCAATTTTAGGTTAGGCATAGTATAAGAAACATTTCTCGGAATCGATGTCATTCCAAATTTCAGCATTGATGCACGGCCTTCAATGAGATAATACAGTGGTAGAAAAACTGACATCAACATTCTTTCTCAAGATAAGATACTGAACTCAGGAATAACTATGGTTTGCCAACTAGTACTACTAGGCCCTAGCTTGCCTTGTTTATATCTGCCTCGTCTCGGGCACTGAAAACTTCAACGGTGGGCTAGTACTTTTTTTAGTAGGCCTACTAGTACTACCAGGCCAGACTAGTACTACTACTAGCTGACTAGGACTTGAACTTAAAGAAGGCAATAACAAACACCATGAAAGTAGGGATCTTTTCTCCAAGCAAACACTAACTTACCCACTCAGTGGTCGTATTGTAACTCCTTTTTTCTCTTAAGTTTGTGGTATTTCTACAATATCAATCAAACTAAGAATTTTGATGTAAAAGAAATAAAGTGAAGAAGACACAGCAACACGTTTCTCTCCTACTATAGCCGACAGCAGCTGAGTTGAGGATACACACGAATTACGCACGGGTGTTTCCAATCACGTGACAGCAACGTCGTCTAGACAACCTTTTGGCCTCTGTCATCAAGATGTTTTAGTAATGTTTTAAATCTTCATATTTTGTGAGTATTATTCCAAAAAATACCAACAAATTGATTATATGTACTTAAGCATAATTATTTATTCCTTTTTTAAAATGTTATATTAAGTTAAGAACGGCGTTTGAATGCTTAGATCATGCTTTGATCCAGGCAAGTTGGTGAAACATCCCTACAACACAATCGATCAGTCCGACATCGGCTCCGCGGGCGGGTTTATTTTCATGGCAGGTGTTTGCTGTCACAATAAACCCAATCAATGTAATTTAATCGTTTTCCTGCAAACACGTATTGTCCAGTGGGTTCGAACAGTGGGTACATGTAGGTCTAAACAGTGACTCTACAATAACGGGTAAATTTAAAAGGTATAACAATGCTATTCAAAATACTGACACTACAGCATTGGTGATTCATAAACCAATGTTGCATTTCCCCCTCATTTAGACAAAAATATAAAATCGTTTGGGACTTTTTTGGCAAATTGTCGCAAAAATTTTTTAATTCGTTGGAAGTAAAGCACATTTCTGTGACTTCAGATGGAATAAAGAAAGCAATTTCAAAACTGTTGGACACTCCATATAGCGAGGATCACTCCGAGTGCTGTTTTTGAAAACATCTCTAAATAAATTTGATTTTTATAAGATTTTGGAGTAAATCTGAAAAAGCACCAAGAACTGTTTCAATTTCTTTCAGAAATAAGCAAATAATCTTTAGCGTGGAGTTGAGCCTTGATAAGAGAATCGTAATAATTCATCGTATAAGTTCAACAAGAAAATCACTACTTATTAGGGGTGTTTATTGAATTGACGTATTTTGAAGGGGCCCGATGGATATAGACTGGATATTGTGCTCAAAATTACGACCCGTTGGGAATTAGCTGCTGTCACGACCTTGGAGACTTAATTTAAGGCCGCAGCTTAGTAATTCGGAAACTGCTCTGTTGTTGTTGTTTTCTTCAATAATGTAGGCTAAAGGAGATGAGTATAGCGCCCTCAGTGCTCATGGGTTTGCTTAAAACTGAGAAATATCTACAGGAGAAACATGTCAACAGGCCATGTCCTTGGATACTTGGGTGGAATCAGAAAAAAAAAGAGGAAGAACCCAAAATTTCTTCCGGTAAATATACTGAGAGAAAGGCGATTTTTGGTCAGCTTCATTTCCCCTCCTTCAGAAATCAAGTCCAAAATTTAGCCTCATACCTCTGAAAGCCATAAAAGGTTACGTAGGAAATGTTCCATTTTTACCCCCCCCCCCAAAAAAAAAGGCCCAACGAAAAATTGGTTTTAGATCTGCTGTGGCTGTGGCTTGAAATTACACACAGGTCCATGGTTGTGGCTGGAGTCATTTTACAAGCCCCTACCAAGTAATTCGGACAAGGCTTAATATATATAGGACGTGTCCGAATCACTTGGCAACGGCCGGAATTTACGCACGATTTCGCAGCCACTGCCATAGACTCATGCGTAATTTTCAGCCGTAGCCAAGTGATTCGGACACGGCCTATATATGATTGAGGGGAAAGGAGGGGTTGATATTACAAGATTAAAACCTGCAGGAATTCTCAAGCTGCTGCAGTCACTAAAGTAAGAAAATAAAACAAAAAACCCATTTCTGCCAATTTTTCGTTTTGCATATCTCCTGTTCATCTCAATGCGGTTCAAACCTCAACGACGCCACCGTGCCTGACAACGGCACAATTGTTAAAGATGCCTTGTCTCGATTTAATTGAATTTTCACTTTAAGTGAACCGCACGAAATTGGCCTCTTTTCAATGAGTAGCTCAATGGCGTACTGTTTCCCAGGCAACACTATTCAGTGAATTTATAAGATTTGAATTATATTCAGTAGAGCAGGACAGCATCCAGAAGGCTGTATATGTCACAATCAGACAAGACGCGAAGACACAAGGCGTTCCATCCATGCAGTACTGAATTCGTCGATCAATAACCATAGGTAAAACTAAGTAAAACTTTTGCCAACGAGAACGATATGAAAAGGGAGCTTGCATCAACATACACCAGTTTCGTTGGGATAGAGATGATGGTGCCCAAATGGTTCATCTTTGGCCTGATATGCCTGATGACTGGATGCACTGGTGGTAACGAGATGTGTAAGGCAGCCATCGGTCGGAGAGGGGCGTGTCCTCCTACTTGGATCAAGTGGGGAGGCAAGTGCTACAAAGCTATCATGAAGAAAATGACATGGTTTGAAGCAAAAGATGAATGCGTCAAGATGGGAAGTGTCTTGGTCGTACCACAGTCTGACGAGGAAACTGAATTGCTCCTACGGCTGATGGCACCCAGGTTTTGGATTAATTGCGATGACCTTCAGGAAGAAGGTTTGTTGATATGGAAAGTTCGGAATTCATTTTTTTAAAGTCAGCCAATCAAATAATGCGATTGTTTATTTTCCTACATCTTTTTAATTTTTCTCGTGGTGTACATTTTAACAGGTAATTGGATTTGTCACGATGGCATCGATGAAGTTGACTACAGGAATTGGGACGCCCTCTCACACCAACCTGATAAGTACCAAGGACTAAACGAGCGTTGTGCTGAGGTCTACTTTCCGTCTGGGAAATGGAATGATTTCACATGTGATGAGAACTTAACAGCAATATGCAAAGGTCAAACTAGCCTTTACCATCGCTGTGCCTCTAGGCTCTTTCAGTAATTTCAACATGGACTGGGAGTATACCGTCAATATCAAGAGCCGACAATTTATTGTGGATACTTCAATCTGATCCTGCTGAGCATATGTAGACAAAAATGTTGACAACAAGCCCTTTGGTCGATCGTTTCTGGAAACTAACACTCCTTACTACCATTATATCCTGCCCTGTTTAAGACACACTTTGTCACAAAAAGGCAGAGGAATAAATACTTTAATTAGGCCTATTGTCACAAACCTGCGATCACATTAACTAAAATCAATCTGATAGGCCCTACATGTATATTCAACCGTTCCATTGTTCAACGTACACCGATAAATCAATTACACACCGCAAATTATCAAATGGAATTTATTACGTTTTAAAGAGGGCAATTTAAAAACAAGAATTTACTGTTTAAATTATTACAGTTCATATTGAATACAAACTTGTATAATGCTAATTGTCCCAAAAATTCGATGTTGCAGTGCAAACTGTGCGCATTGCCCAATGTGAAGTGGCATTCTGCAGTATAACGTGTATTCATGAAATTAAAAATTTACTTTGTCACTGCTGGAGGAAAGCACATTACAGCTCGTCGTAGAACTTAGATCGAATATTGAAGAGCGTTAGAAATTTTTCCAACAATCTTGTGAAACAGGTTCGGTCGATCAGCCATGATTTTAGGCCTTTGATAGTTTTGAACAACTATTTGTGTTTGAGTGCACCTGTGGGGCATGACGGTCTTGGGCCGTGGTTTAAGCTGTTAATTAAAGATTACTTTGAAAAATCTTAGGTCGGGTAGGCAATTTTTTACACAACACGCTGGGGGAGAAACCCTCTTGAATAAAGGCTATAATCGTGGCTCAGAAATATTTCTTTCCAAGGAAAGTCTGACATTCATCGGAGGACGCTTCCACAAGGTATGAAGACTAGTCTCCACTCAATAACCATTTTCCCATAGGAAAGTACATGGTGTATCCCAGACAGTTGTCCGGAGTTTTCCGCATCCACATTGAAAATCTAAGAATTATCTTGTAATTACAAGTCACTGACTGTTGAAATTCAGTCCCACGTGTACGTTATTCTGTCTTATAATCAGTGTTTGCTCCATAGTCTTCAGTGTTGTTCTTTCTAAAATAAATTGATTGAATTTCTGTCTGAGGAATGTGTTTAATAAGGAAGCTCTTTTGCCAGCGTTTAGGATAGACATAAATTTTCGCCAGTCTTCCAACTATGCTTTCCATTAACTCAGCGTCCAACAAACTCAAGTTGCTAGACTATCTCTCCATAGTGGTCCTTCCCCTTTCACAGGTGGAACACCCCAAGCTATACAAGCCCCACCCTAAGTCGTTATCCAACTGTTCAAGCCGACCTACACTCCCATTTCGGGCTTTATAACTGGACCCTTATCATCGATTCTGGTAAAGTAGTACTTCAGGAGAATGAGACAGCGTGACAGTTGTCTCTCATCTCAACTCATTATGGGCTTTACTGTAACCCCACCCCGGTACAGTTATAGTTCAGTGTAAGCTATTGGCTGCTACTCCCTAACCCCATCATCACGTGGATCAACAATGTCAATAACAGCAACAGGCTAAGGGTGGATGCAGGGGGCCAATGGGGGCCACCCCTCCCCAAAATAAATAAAAGGCCAAATTTATTTTAGAACAGTAAATAGGCTTTCGGTCTAGTTCATTTTCCTTCCTTCCAAAAGCGCGTAAAAAGTCCCTAAAGTAGCCTCCTCCTCAGAAAGGCCTTAAAAGGTTACATTAAAAAAATGGTCCAAGTTTTGCCCCCCCCCCATAAAACAGTTTGACCCCCCAACAAAAAATTTGGTTCTGGATCCGTCTTTGCCAGAGGAGCAGGGAAAGCTCTAGGAGCAGCAGGTGTATGGCTATAATCGGTAGTACATGATGACGATGGTATGACACGCACCCGTGAAGTTGGTGGATACAGGTACCACCGCTCCCTTTAAAAAAAGATTTTTGATCAACGTATTCTGAAGCATCTTTCAAGATAATTCAGGATTTGTGATGTGGGGGGGAAGAGGAGCTCTGTAGATGTGCGAACTGGATAAATAAAGCAACCGATTATAATCTTCAATTGCATTATTATTTTCAAGGACGTGATAATTTCACAATGAGAGGTTTGATGTGGTACGGGTTGGAAATTTGATTGATTTTTACTTGTAGGACGCGCGTGCATGAAATTTGTCTCTGATAAAGGAGTTCTCTACTAAGTGGATCCATTCGTGTACTGGTGTCTCCTTGGCAACTATACAGAAGGAATGGAAGTAAGTTAAATGGTCTTAACGTTAGCGGTTACAAGGTAAATTATCATTGACTATATCTTGTGATACACAAAGGGTCTCTGACGTTATTATGCCTTACGCTTTAAAAACATTTTGCCGGAACTCTACTTTAAACATCTAATCACTAGACACAAGTCAGGTTAGAAGATGTCTCCCAAATTTTTCATCTTTAGCTTGATGAGCTTTCATGTGATTGCTGGATGCATTGGTGGTAACGAGATGTGTAAGGTCGCCAGTGGTCGTCGAAGGGCGTGTCATTCTCCTCCTTGGATCCAGTGGGGTGGTAAATGCTACCAAGCCGTCATGGAGGAACTGACATGGTTCGAAGCCAAAGATGAGTGCGTCCAGATGGGAGGTGTCTTGGTCGTACCACAGTCTGACGAGGAGACTGGTTTCCTCCTGCTCCTAACGCAATCAGACTTCTGGGTCAATTGCAATGACCTTCGGAAAGAAGGTTTGTTGAAATTACTACTTTATTATCTGAAAGTGATATACATGTACATAGACATGCACAAATTCGGCAAAAAATAAACAAAACTCTCGTCACTTTTCATAAGTAACTGTTCGGTTGATGTCCAAATCCACGTCACTTGTTTTTTTTTAAAGGCACGTGGGTGTGTCTCGACGGCGTTGACGAAGTGGAGTACAGGAATTGGGAAGTTAGAAACTACCTACAACCTGATAACTACGGAGGAAATGAGAACTGTGCTGAGGTATACTCTGTGTTCGGAACATGGAATGACCTGCCATGTGAGATGAAACTCCTCGCAATATGTAGCCATGCAACCAGCATTCATCATGGCTGCACTTCCGCCCCCGATAAGTAAGCACAGATTGTCGATAATGCACATTGTATCTTGCGACAACCATTTACAGGAATCAAACCCTGTATGAGAGCTAAAAACTCATTTTATATTGCCCAGCTTTGCAAGGCCTTGGTTAGGACATAATACTCAATACAAAAGGTAATAATGACTCAAAGTGGCCACCTTGGAATCCTGCAATAAAAATAATACCAGTACTTAACTTCACTGGACAACTCTAAGACTATCTGAGAATCGGATAAGTTCGTAATTTCCATCATACCTTTTACTAACCTTCCAATCCGCGAGCTACAAAATGCTTTCATAGCACAGAATTGGGGATGTGAATATTGTGATTTGATCTGCGCATGCAGGCAGTTATTGGCAAGACGACATTGTGCCTTTTAGTCTTTTTTCTGGTAGTTTGTACATGTATAGTAAAAATGAGACTACACCCACCCATTCTCTTTTTCCTTTCAGCGACTTGGTGTAAATCCAAAAGAGTTTGGAATTCAGAGAGTACCTCACGTTTAAACGCCTTTGGTGGTAAAACAGCCCAGTCTCCGTTACGCACAGTTGACGAGCCCAACACAAGGCTCTGATTTAACTGCACAGGTCCTACAATGCTCATGGCTGCACTTCCAGAAACCTTTAGTGGGTGTATTGATCGTGTGTCTGTAACTTGTGTCTACATATTGTAGAAATGTATATTTATTTGCGATACTTTGGGTACAATTTTCAATTTGGAAACGCCATCAGCCGATTGCTCTGTTCAAATGTGAAGAAACCCTTAAAAATTTTCAATATTTTATCCATTTTTCCTCATTAAGCCACAAACCCCTGTACGCTTCAGTTTTGAGGCCATGCTTCCCCTTAAATGTTGACGTTACACGGTTTCTCACTTGCGGGGACATCCAAAGGTGATCCTTAGAGTTTGGTCCTCCACAAGGCAAAAGAAAAGTTACTGTGCAGCCAGAAGAACTGAAATTCACTTTAACTATTTGTATAATTCAAGACACAAGCACAAATGAGATGTTAACAATGAAGGTGATTTCTATATAATATCAGGAATTAGGTTTAATGTGTTAAATTCTATATGTACATATATATCACTTTATGTATAAGTGTTATGACAGAATTATGGCTTGATCGTTTCGGAAAGCAAATCAAAGAATTCAATGTAAATGTAATTTAGAGGGGATCGGTACTAAAATTCATTCATTCAACTCTTGAACTACTTGCCACCATAATGGTCTGAAGTTTGTAAGGAAAGCACTCAACATTCATACGTTTTGATATCGGCAAAAACTTTCTTGGAACTTATGGATTTGATAGGCTGATCAAAAGTCAAATATTCAAGTCATTATACAAGACATTTATGAGATGACGCAGAGCCACATTTTAGGGTAAAATGCCGTTTCATATCAACGCATATTATCCGTGTTATCCGTGCAATCACGCAATTAAGAATTACACTGTACCACCATCTTAGATATTTCTGCATCAATCTGAAGTTAGAACCCAGAGACGAAAACATTCCATCCTTTCCTACCTGGACTTCATAATATTTGGGAAGGGAGATTATTACATTAAATACACTTCAGAGTCTGTTTTTAACTTTACAAGAAACACAATTCTGCAGGCTTCATTTGATTTAAGCTTCGGACAAAAATTTGGGCTGTCAAAAAGAGGCTCCTGCAATGCACCTCACCTTTCTGTTGGGGAATCGGCTATATTCTTACATGCAAGGTTAAGTGTGCGAGTAAGCTGATGAATTGGACCGCGGCACTCGGCCAGTTTCGTTTACCAATGTTTATGGGTCATAAATAACGGGAAATTATGTCGCGGTTCCGAAATTTACTGGCAGTGGTAGACAGATATCTTCATCTTGTGAGGCTAGTCAAATAAACACTTCGTTCCATAAATCAAAGCCAACATTTTTTTTACCTTAAGTGATGCCATAAGTTTGATCTTCTGCGAATTGGCTACGTGCTGTCATTAACGTATCCAGTGGGGGTAGGTTAGTGGCAGGCGTGTGGGGAACTCCCCACCCCCGGGAGGTATGCTATTTTTTCTCTCACGTTTGAACAAAGAATGACCTGGCATGAACTACAACCTATGTTGATTCGAAACATTCTTTTAAAACGTGGGCTGAAGCGCCAAATTATTACGCGTTATTAAAATTTCATCGACAACGGGTGACGTAGAGGACTACTGGCTGTTTTGTTATTTACTCCATCTAAATGTGCAAAAGGGAAAATACCCAACAGAATAACGAACAAGGGTCGTTGAAAAAATTAAGTTTGGCTTATTTTGGATCTCTGATGTTGTCAAGAAGAAAGTCTGACTGAAAAACGGATTTGACGGTTCAATGAACTTTGGCAAGAGAAACACTTGTATTGAAGCCAATCGATCACATAATTATTACGGGCAATAGGGATGGTTCAGTGATTGTAAAGTCTATGCACGTGAAGAGTTTCAAAGGGGTTCCTGTCGCTTCTACCATTATCTATCATATCGGCACAGGACTCCACTGTATGGTACCTTGACTCCCCAATTGTGTAATGATCCTCTCTGCCTATCATTGCACATATTGTTTTTCTTTTTCGCTTCGTTATAATATTAATGACCGTCACGCGAGTTTTTAATTTGGATCGACCCTGCCTGTTCACCAACATTGAGTTGGATACCAGTCCTGCAATACGCCGGTTGTTAGGACGAGGGTCTGTTGACGCAGGGTTACCGGTATCAAGAGTAGTTACAAACACTGCAGAGCCTGAATTCCCGGGAGACGCTCGGCAGTCAGCCAATAAGAGGTTGCCTCCTAGGACTACGTCAGAATTTCCATCCAATGGGCAACTCGTCTCCCACATCTGGCTTTGCCTGTCCGACGGGAAACCAGTGAATTTCGGATTGGAGATGACGCTGTTGCCACGGACGCCAAAGCGCGGGAACTGCCGCTCGCCTGTAATTTCCGTCAACATGGTGACGATTGCGTAGTCGTGAATAGCCCGAAATGCATCACTGTTGACACGGCGCGGTCTAGCCGACTTAATCCAGCCCGTGGGAACACGGATCATGCTAATCCGATGTAAGCTAAATCCGTGCGAGGACGGAACTTCAACTTGCGACCTGTAGGCGTTTAGCCGGAAAGTTACTCCGTCATGTAAGCAGTGAGCTGCCGTTAATACGTGTATTGGACTAATAAGTGTACCTGTGCAACCAAGAGATAAACGAACCACGTTGTTGTAGGGAGGTTTGCGTCGGATAACGTGATTGATAAAACGCTGATCAGTGCTATCTGCAAGTTGAACATTAGAAACTTCTGCTGTCCGAGTCTGATCATTTCTCATACCACTCTTGTCTCTGTTTACACCTGGGGAGATGGTTGGAACTGTCACTGTGGATGGAGTGAAATCTGCTGTATTGGGCGAGAATGTCACCGTCCCTATTGCTGTCATTTTCGGTGACTGCCCCTGGTACTTGTCGAGAGGTTGAGGGACCAACCTTTGATGATCACTGTCCCGCCTCACTTGGGTCGGTTGTGAGGGTGACATTTTCCTCTGCACGTGCTGCGTCTTGTGCGCAATAGGAGAAACAGGTTGCATCGTTTCTGCTTGGGACTCCACACGTCCATTCACCGGAGTCGTCTCCTCAGTGACTCGCTGGTTCTCGCTGCCCAGTCTGTGCCGGTTCCGTTTCCTCCTCTGGCGTTTTCTCCCCTGTTTCCTCTTTTTGGCACTCCGAGTGATTCTCAGAGTGTTACTTGATCTCCGTTGAAGTGATGGAATGTCGGTAATATCTAAATGCCCAATGGCATGTGGTGGCACCAATTTCAACAGGCCTCGGTCATCATCCCAAATAAATAACGATTGCTTCCTCATTAACTGTTGCAGTTGGGAATGCATTACTGATGAAGATTTGTCTTTGGTTTTGGAATTGATTTCGTCCAATTTCACCTTATTGGATGCTGCTGCAACTGATACTGCAAAAAGCAAAGTGATTATGATCGAGAGGAGAAGGACTTGTAACTTCCAATGAGCCATGTTGATGCAGATACAAGCTCCAGGATTGTTGATACGGAGATGCAAACAACCAGCTTGTCAAGCGGAGTTGTAAACACGTGAGCACAGTGTCAATGGTGTCCACAGTCCGTGCACTCACTGTGACATTTCTGACTCACTGAGTTATTTTTTCCTGCAAGTTCTCGCCAAATCCGTTCGTTCAAGGAAATCTGATTGGACCAGTGGTTTTATACGACACAGCAGCGCACGTAGACAGAGTTGAAATCACTGCACAGTCCTTTCATCACCGATTGGCTGAGAGATTGCCATGTGACATCTTCAGCAAACCACAACTGTCCGAGTATGCAATTCGATACAATCGGTGCGTTCAAATAGATTCCACTGGGCAACCCTGACCGGGGAAGCAATGTGTATTATGTGTCAAAGAAGCCAGAGTGAGGTTGAACCCGAGCAACCCCCGGAAGCTACTCGAACGTACTCATAGTTGCGCCTCATCGGATATACCGCACACACTTTTCAAATTCGTGGAGGGTACGTCTAGCGTGATTGATGCGTCCTATATTGCACACGTCGGGTGAAAAATCGTAAATAAAGGAAACTTGGAGGTCACCTCGGCTTTCTTTCTGGGTATCATTCGGGAGGGACAGAACTCAGCCCATGTGGGTGTCACACGAAGATTGCGGTTCATTAATCTTCATAAATAAACTTTAAAGATTAACAAATGGCAGCTCTGGTGACAGAAATATGGGTGTGCATGAACCCTCCAACGGTCCATGGTTTTGATAGAACGGCGACAGAACGAAAATAGCCTCAGTCTTAAGGAATAGATGTAGATCAATGTATCCATTATTTGGGTTTGTACCCCCCCTTCATTACCACTGGAATCTGAAAACAGGTTTTTATGACTTCTTGAGGGTGAAGGGGATTATGTCATGTGCACGGTGTGACACTTAGTTCAAAACATTCATACTGAATTCATAAATTTAAAGAGTTCAGTCCAAAAATCGTTTTCTCTCTTACCAAACCAAAAAATGCTCTCTTTGGGAGGGCAATGGCCCCCGTTATCCCTCTGCCCAATAGATCTGCCAGTATCAATTTCTTAATCACTTCAGTGCTACACGTTTGTAGCGGTGTACCCAGGATATTTCGTGGGGGGGGGGGCTCAGACTGGGATTCAATCCCCCCCCACCCCCCAAAAAATTAGCTCAGGATGCTCAAGCAGCCTTCATCCGTTGCGCCACAAGGGACTGGGCTTTACGACCAACCACATCAGAGCTCGTAGATTCTGAAATGTAGGTGTAAACTGTGTCTTCGTTTCAGGCGCCTTGCCCCTCCGGGGGGGGGCTGCTACTGTTTGTTCGAAATGTTTCCCTGATAGGAAAGTTCAATTTACTCAATGAAAAGGCCCGTGCCAATCCGTACGGATCGAAAGAGCCGATGGTGTGATAAACCCCAGTGTACTTTTACAGTGGAATTCGAGGTTTGACCAGAAGTCTGCACTCCGTCCTTTTCCCGTAATGTAGTTTCTGCACAGAAGTTTCCTGAATTTGAAAGATCTATACCCTCAGTTCGTCCTGAAATCGCTGTTTTCTTTCTTTCATTTTATGCAGTTTTCTGTCCCCCGTGGCTACCTTTACCATCGTACTCTCTCATTTGGAAATTCTCAGAAAAAAAACTTGAAGCTTTCACCACAGGATGGGAATCACTGCTGTCTGTTTCAAGATTCAGGACGGATGTTAATTGAAGGGGAAACGGGCAATGTATCAAAAATAACTCCAGGGTTGATCGATTCTACGTCAGCAACCATTCCAAGAAATACGACGGGGAATTCCTATATTGCGTTTCAAGGTTTACCTTCGGGAAGGGGGTAGTATGTTATTTTTCTAAAATGTTGGGCTATTTTCCCTTTTTTTAGTCATGACAGAATCCTACCCCAAGGAAGATGCTGGTACCGTTTCTTAGACTCAAGTGTCGACGCTCTCATTTCTTGAGAAAGGGCAACGTGTCCCAGGGGGGGCATTATGAGAAATGCCCCCCCCCCCATTTTTTCCCATATAAGAAATGAAATAAGAAATGTGGGGGTTGGGACACCTGCGTATGAAATAATCCTTTCAATGGTCGGAAGAATATTGCATGCATGGTTGAGAACCACTGTCTACATGATGATGTATCACGAGAGGGGGGACATCTTGATTAATTCATCATATCCTGTATCCTGTCAACAATTAGAGACGATTTCTTGGAAGGACGCGGATCGAGATTGATTCTTTTAGCCGCTTAAAGGACATTATTGCGCTCCAGAAGCACATGTGGTATCAGAAGTTTTAGGTTGTACTTTGGAGAGAAAAACATCTGCCGACTTACTATTCAATAAAATGCTATATACTGGTACTTACAGGCGTCGCCAGGATTTTTTCTGCCAGGGCACGCCACTTTTTTCGTGGGGAAAATTTTCATGGAGGAAAGGCACTCATCAGCTAATAAATGATACACAATAATATCAGTGGCTAGAGGGGGTAAATTTATGTTTTTATTAAGCAGAGTAGTAATTTTCATCCCCTTTCATGTCTTTGTTTTTCTTTTTGCTTTTTTATTTCTTTCACTTCCCCCTTTTTTCCTTTTGTATATATTTTCGAATTCTTAGGGGAGGAGGCAAGCGCAACGGTCATGTTAATTCTTCATTAATAATTAATTTCATTATCAATTTCCTTGCAGTCGATTTGTGTAAATAGCGGGTCCCCCCTCTACGTCTAGCAGCCCGAGACGCAGTATGGTGGGATGATATTTCGTCGTTGTTTGTTTTTCATCGCAAAATTGGCAATTTGACTGACTGTAACGGACAAGTTGATGTTGACAGATAACAGCCAGAGGCAACGAGTTTACGGGTGGTACTGTCAGTCTGCGTGTGGTTGAATTAGAACTACATGTAGATTTGTATAAGTCGTGAAGGTTTAAACGCCAATAGATAAAATATAGGCATACAAAATATTATCCTTAGAGGTGAGGCCAAAATTTTTGTAAAGGTTCGAAGTGCTATGGGCGGTCAGTCATTTTACTGCATGACTTTTAAAAGCCAGCCCGTTTCATTAGTTGTGAACATTTGCCATGGAGGAGGAAAGTGAAGAACATAAGGTTACCTCTAGTTTCAGACCAGCAGATTTTGGCCCAATGCCTTAAATTACAATAAGGATTATTTCTGATTTGAGGATGTGGTTTTCGTTGTTGATTTAGTTTATTCCGAAGTAAGGATTGGATTTACAGAGAAAACTATTAAAAATTGCTAATTAAACGTTCAACACTTGTTGTGTAAAGTTTTGCCGAAGAAACACAGAAATGAAATACAATTTTCGTGTATTCTATCTTGCACCTTTCTCGGTCTCAGGTTTACTTTTTATGCTAAAAATTCAGTTTGCACAGAATTGTTTTGGAAGGATGATTTCTATGTACACTTGAAGTTGAAATACATTTTAAGAATTGTTCTAATGCATAAGTCGCAATGTCCCCGGTTCAAACCCCAAATAGATGATATGAGATCCACGTGAGATAAATCCACGCTGTACCCTTAAATATAAGTATAAATAGTAAACCTGATTAGTTTCACCGTCAACATTAGAATCCTGCTTACTGTAGCTAGAGGAAAACTTGTTTTTAGCCGGGTATCTGAATATAGACAAATTCCTCAAATAGTTTCGCGATTAACGTACTGCAAGAATGATAGCCTTTTAAATCATAGCCCCACACAGTGCACACTATCATGCCTTAATGGTGGAATGAGTTGGAAAGGTAATAAGTCTGGATATGACGCTTGTTTGTAAGGGATGTGTTTATCCACAATCGGAGCATCTACCTCACTTAAAGTTTTAAATGTCTGCTATATTACAGATTTTGGTTGACCCACGCGCATGCTACATGTAACATCAATCGATCTGTGTTACCGCACTGAGTGTGCCATGCCAAGCCCTGAAAAGTTCACGTATGACGCACGATCATTTGCGCATGTTCTTGTTTACGGTCTGCCCTAAAAAAACACCTCAACCCTCAATCAACCAGAACAAACAATATATTAGTGACAGGTAATCGTTAAAGTCCCCGTGTCCTGATTTTCATTCAAGCCACAACCATACATCTACCTCTTTTTAGAGAGGAAAAATTCTGGGAAGAGGTTGGAAGTTTCTTCTCCTTTTGCGAGGACGGCAACACAGGTCTAGCTCCATGACGAGTTAAACCGATCTGCTGTGATGAACAGTGATGATGTCATGCCATTTTCATCCAATTACGGCTTACACTCCAGGACTGGCTAAGGAATGTCTCACACTCCAGGTCAATCATGAATGTCACAGGCAACGATCGCAACTCTACGACCGAGACTCTAGCCCTTTAGACGGGCAGGAGTAACCCCGAAATATCCGGTTGTTTTTTTAAAAATAGCTAGCAACCAGTGGGAGATGAATAATTGGCAATCCTGAAAACAGGATATTAACACAAAGTTGTTGAGTTCATGGAATGTGAAGCATTTTATTAATGCTTTGTTCTTGTACCTTATATTCCTCATTGGGAAGAAAAAAAAGAAGGAAATTTAATCACGTTCAGATATGACAGGGCGCAAACTTACCTGCTGTGTGAATAAAGACATGCACTGTAAGTCGTGATAACTTAAGTACTGGTGCTTCAAACGGTGGATTTTTACGAACTCTTTGTACTATTGACTAGTTTGGGTGCTGAGGGTAGGACTGTTCCACCTGACCTCCATGTATGGGCGTCACTAAGACTTTTTCGGGGAGGGGGGGTAGTTTTTTTCGATGCGTTCAGCAGTTGGCACACTAATGGAAGAGAAGGTCGATTTCCTTTGATCTTCTCTGTTTTGTTCTTCGCACTTCCACTTTTTTTCGGGAGATAGGTGCAACGCTTCAGTCCACGCCCTACGCAAAAGTATTAATTTCCTTTGCACCTCACAGAATATTTCAAATATGTATTATACCCGTGACTCACAAAGTTCAACCACCCCGGAATTAATGAAAAATTTGATATGTTTGAAACTGTACTTAGACCAGCATGAATTTGTCATTTACGCCAATGGCGAGTCTCACACAATCATAATCGTTGCAAGGTGTGTATGAAAAAAAACGGTTTCCCAAGGATATTTTAGATCGATCAAGTTCTGGGAGACTGCCTGCATAATCATTAAAGGAGTATATTAAGTAAGTATTTGTAACTTTTTGGGGGGGGGCTCAAAATTGACGGGGCCCTTCAGAAACAGGAGTTGAAAGTGGGATGATATTGACATTAGACTCGTTTTTACCATGAAACAGAACGGGCTGTAAAATGTGTTATATGCCTCGGCAACAGCCCAATCGCATTTCTGAAGAGAGAGAGAGGGCGCTTTACAAATCAGGGAGGTCGGCAGATGAGAAGGCTTTCACTGCATCATTTTCGCCTAGCAAAGTAAACTACAGGTATGCGTTACATTTGACATCAGCCACTAAACTTAAATTCTATAAAATCTGTCTCGGTTCGTTTCCAATTAACATGATGATTTCCAAGTTATGAGGAGTGGGCGAGGGCGTAAGGGGATGAGGTACGCCCCCCACCGACACACACACATACACTTTTTACGAGGGGTGAGCTATTGGATCACCCCCCCCCCACAGGTGAGACAAAGGGGTGGATTTTCAGGAATTTTACGAACTTGCCAACAACCATTCCAAGCAAGGAACTACTGTCTAGTTTTTCTTACTAGCAGTCTTGCTATGAAGAATTTGTAGTCTCAATCGGCTCGATGATTGAATAGGTGTCCTAAATATTCGTGTTATTAGTATTCGCAAAAAATCAAGACAAGGCTGTCTCAGTTTCCAACATAGAAAAGTATGTAACATCATTAAAGAAACAGCCATTGGACTCAACGCCCTGATGCAATTATGTTCCCGGACGAATACATTATGCACTTTAAGTTTGCATGCTGGTGGAACTGATAACGGATTTAGAACAAATGTTTGACCTAGCTCTACATAGACACATATTTGGATCTGGCCTAATTCGCTTTCTAAATGACAGACCATCGGTGAATGGGGTGTTCAGGCTTTGTTAGTATTGCACGGTTAATTGGGCCCGCCCACTGCTGGTGGATACAATGGCGCCCTCTCCTGTAACAGACAGCTAAGACAAGCGGGAATCCACAGCAGGGTTGACCGTTCACATTTTGGTTTCATCGTTTTGGCCCACAGAGCCTGAAAGTAAAAGGTCACGCAGCGAGATTCCATAACCGTCGCGCGGTCTGTCCAATCACGTTCGATAATTTACGGAGGAATGATTCCTAACTGAAACCACCCCATGAAGCACTAATGTTCGAATTTACTTTTGTCTTCCTCGACTAAAATTCAGGAAAAGTCACCTGGAGATGGGTAAAAATACGAACTTTATCGACGACCTTTCACGTCCAGCGATATCGTACCTAGGTCTCCTTGTTCACGCAAGTTTGTTTTCACTGCCCGTACGAACGTTGCGAAGATTTACCTACCTGTAGTCAATGGGTTCCATGTTCCGTTGATTAGACAAAACGCAATTGTTGTCAGCAAAGGTTGAATAAAATATTAGAATCTTTCGTAAAAGTAGATTAATGCTTTAAGCGTATTACCTTATAAATCAAAACAGTTTGCGAAATATTTTGATCTGCTTTTATTTCGGCTCTTACCAACAGACTACCAGAGGGAAACCATGGGGTGGGAGGGTCATATTGCCGTATGATATGGAACAAAATGACATTGAACGCCAGTAGGCCCAATATAGTCATTGTTACCAGATAGATCTACTGGGTCATGATTTGCACGGCCTCAAATGATTAGTCAGTTGCTGAGCTCTGTAAATGTTTCCGAGGAATGGACGGAATTGGACTGGGGAAATTGACACTGTTTTTCGGTCCAGTATAATATAGTGGATACAACATCATTTTCACTCGTAAATAAAGGGCTTCATGGAATTTTAGTGGTCAAAACTGTCTCTGCAGTGAAATCACGAAAGACATACATGTACATGACTTATGTAGAGATGAAAAAGGGAATGTGCTGACGATCAACCCATGGAGCAGTGTCGTATCCAGCGGGGGGGGTTCCCCCTGCCCCGGAAATTTTTGTGGTTTTTCTTTTTTTTTCTTTTTACAAAGAACAGAAGAGTAGGAAAAATGTATTGGGTACATTTATTTATTAAATATTAGCACCGAATCCCAAAGAAAACAACACCAGCAAATAAAGGCATTTTCTCCACATATCATATTGAATGAGCCCGAAGACGCATTCGCTTTTGGATTTCCCCCGACACCAAAAGCTGGATACGCCGCTGCCATGGAGGAATAAAACAATCCTCCATGATCAACCAAACTGTGTGGAAATTCTGAAATCTCCCCCACAAATTCCGAATGCTGAACCATGAGCTGGCTACACGTCTTGTGGATTCATCAAGTCCAACACTCGCCGTACCGACCGAAGATTGCTGTATAGCAATGTCCGAATTGACGTGGCTACGGCTTGAAATTACACGCGAGTCTAAGACAGTAGCAGCAGCTACTTCTCATAGAGTCAAGTGCATATAGTTCAAATACAGCCCAGTTATCGCCGAAAGACATCTCCACGCTAAAAGGCAAAAGAATCACTCTGTGATATCGTTTCGTGTGAGACGACTGCAGCAAGACTAGCGGATAGCTACGGGCAAAGCATCAAACCAACTTGACCTCGTTGACATAGTGAACACATGTAAACCCGCATAACAAAATTGATTGAAAAATTCTGAAAAGCAACAAATTCATGAAATGTACGGGAAGTCCCAGTCGGCGCAGCCCAGATCCGTGAAAGAGCTGAATAGCTTGACCGATGAAGCGTGTAGGCACAAAAACTCTATTATGATTTGAGTGTCCCAAAACATGACGTCATGCCTTTCATAAACTATTCACAATAGTGACCCGTTGGAGAGCAGACGCCACATATGCCATTTGTATGCTTGGCAGAACGGTGGCAGTGCGCCATTGGGGACTGTTTATTCTGGGTTTGTCAGGTTGGCCCGCTACTTGTTTGAGTTAGGACTACACGTTGCTGACTGTGTAGTTCTGTAGACTACCACAGATGAAAGCCATTCGTGCCTGTGAGCATGGAGGAAGGAACACATGTGTGAGTGAGTCAGTCGCTGGACAAAAAATACTATGATGGTCTCCAGGAGTAACGTACACTGTCCCCCAACAAACTAGAAGTATTCTTATGTGCAGGATTAATGTCTTGCAGTTGAAAACCCTGGTGGAGACTATGGAATTAGGAAACAATGTGTCTCTTTACCCATGATTACCAACAATTGGAGCAGCTCACGGCCTGTAGGTACGCATTTGACGCTGACCATCACATGGAAACCACCTGAACAACGCGAGTTTGACCTTAAACTTCTCAACAAAACCAAGTTACACGGGATTAACTCCTACAGGTAAAGGGGTCCAGTAACCGGTTAGTGGAAGGTTTAGACCAAAGGCCACACGGGGTAGGGTTAGACCTATTCTCCATGTTTATTCGATGAACTTTGACAATGGAGAGTTTTTCGGCGACAGAGGAAGCGTATCTGGTGTCCCTTGACGGAGACAACTCGACCGTGGATCCGTACAAAATCGATATCGCCCCGTACTTCGTGGTTCTCAACACCGTGTATTACGCTATCCTTGGCCCAGTGGCTATCACCGGGAACATCCTTTCGGTGTTAGTTACTCAACGAATACTGAGTTACCGTAAAAGCATTCCAGACATGCTGACGGGGTGCTTGGCTGCCATCGACTTACTCTGTGTGATATCCACACATACTCCGTCCGTAATCTCTCTAGCCAGGGGTCAGTGGACAGGTGGATCTCCCATCTGTTCTTACCAGTACTTCATGGCATGGTCCTGTCTCAAAACCTCCTTCTTTATCATCATTTTGCTAACTGTGGACCGGTATCTTGCTTTAGTCAAACCTTTCTACTATCGAGCTAAGGTCACGCCCCGGCAAATGAAGATTGCATTGGCGTGTTTGACTGTCTTCAGTTTTGCCGGCACCTCTGTCACTATCATCTGGTTTTCCGACGAAATCAGCCTCCTGCCAAATTGGTATCTTTGCATGAACACTTGGGGAAAAGGTAACGAGTACTACAGCTATATCTTGGCCTTTTACGGAATGACTTTCATCGTTGGTGTTATCCTCTTCAACGTGTGTAACACAGGAATTGTCTGCTCTTTGATAAGACACAGTAAGAAGGGCCAACGGATGAAGCTTCGAGTTCTCTCAGCGGCGCAATACCAGCGAGAGAGACGAGTCGCTAAGGTTATTGAGACCTTGTCTGTCGTGTTCATGCTGTTCTGGATGCCTTATTTGGTAAGTCTGTGTCGAGGATAGCACTTGACGCACTCAGCATCACTATCAAGGACATGTAGAGCTTGAAATAAGAGTATACGCAGAAAACCAGGGCTCACGACATGGGGAATAGCTTTGGTGGTAGATCTCAACTGTTGAATCTCACCCTGTTATGAGCCAGTGGGTAAGGTTTTCCAACTATTAGTTACATAAAGCTCCGACTGTAATTTGAAGCTTTCTGTCAACCACCACGTGAATACATATACGACGCACTGACCTGGTATGCAATGACCTGGGCTGGAAAGTTGAAAAAGATGCAGTAACATCAGCCTTTTCAGAAGTCGTTTCATTCCTTCTCTCACCAACGTATTTGCGCCAATTTATTCACTTTGTAAACTCTGTCTTTCGTATAACACTTCCCGGTATCGGAGAACTTCATGTTCTGAAATACATTCATGGAAAACTTTTGGGGAATTGTGCTAACTCTGTATCGAATGGGTTTAGTTTCGAGTCATTTTCATTGAAGAAAAGAATGAAATTCTCATAAGGCTATCAAGCAGCTAGGTCAGTTTCCCATTATATATTTTCAATGCATTCTTGCAATAATGCCTATCACGAAGGGTTTTTATGAAAACTAATGACTCATGCATTTTCGGTCGAGCTGTGAGCGTCCACAAACATGATTAATTTCAACACAGCGGACTCGACAACTTAAAAATATATTCTTACCAACGCTTCACAAGAAGTGTCATCAAATATACGGAGTAACTCAGGAGGCTCTCACATCTATTATAAGAATGGCGATTTCACAGTCAGATTCTTGCAGTAAGGGGAAATTTTTCCCGAAGAGTGAAGACTGAAATATCTTTCTTTTCGTGATCGGTCGCAGGCAAACAAGATTGCGGCCTCCTGGTTCCATAAACTTTTAGATGTTCACCATACTATTTTAGGTTTTATTGCCAATTTCGATAAGGTGAGTTTGTATTTCATGGTCCAAAGCACCGTGGGAAGAGGAAGGCTGATATGCACCCTTTCTGTTCTTTTCATTTACATGTATTGTGCAAAATCAGCCAAGTGAGACAGTAATTGCCATAATGTGTATACGTGATTTTGCAAACTGACAAAGCACTAGGCTGATGCTGTCAAAAGAACGTGTGGAAAGTCACTCCGTTACTTGAGGGGTAACATGTCAGAAAAAGGAATGTTGCTCAAAGAAATGGGTTAATATTCTCGATGATTGGTTTCTAATATATGAGCACGTAGGTTTGAAGGCATGATGTTTTCAAATAACTTTGGCCAAGTCGCGCAAATGTGTCTCATTTTGAAATCAAAGACAACATTCCAAATGACTGCAGGATTAAAGTCAAGATCGGAATTGCATAACACGTGCCAGCGTCTTTTTCATTAGAAGGAAACAAGGGCGGATTCAGAACCATATTTTCGGTTGGGATTGTTTTCTTCTTGTGTTCTGGGGGGGGCAGAAATTGGATTTATTTATAGAACATTTTACGGCCTTTCTAAGCGTTAAAGGCACATTTTGTGGCTTTTCAAAACAGGTTGGTTCCTTAGGGGAGGGGGAAATACCCCTTCCCCCCTCCGTCCATAAAGGAACTCGCATCTGAACAGTTGTCACGAGTCGGAGTTATTGGTACGGTACTCTTTCTGTACAGGGGGTTATAACTGTATTTCACGACTACTACATTAACATATTAACGAGAAGAAATTCTGGCCACCTGTGCCTTGTATGGATTATGTTACAAAAAAAAGGCGCTGCACACTGCATGAAAGTTGCGACGTAGAAAGTTTCCTATCGAGAATGGGCGCACTAATGATACCATTAAGACATGAACATACATGCCGGTGAACAGTGTAATTAAAAGATGGCATGATTAAAGGATGACGTGGAACCTTAATTAAAAAGTCTATCAATTTCGCATATCTTTAATACATTGAAATATATTATTTTTAATACATTGCACATGTATAATATACATGTAATTTACCACATGATAGTCATCGGTTTGATTTTGGTGCTATGAAATTGAGGTCCAAGGCTAACTACGACTATAATAATGTGTACAGGCCTTACATGGAACCCCACAAGTAATATCCGTACCCCTGTGTAGAATGTAAAGGGTGTCGCATTTGTTGATATGGGGCAATTATTGATACAAAGATTTGATTGGGCGAATTATGAAACCTGGTTGCATGTAAGTGTTCTATTAATGACAGTGACAGACGGAACAAACATGGAGCAATATCGATTCTCTTCGAGATTGTTGACATAAGGGTCCGGCGAGTGGCGACATTTAGACAGGCGACATTGTGTCTGTGATTTTAGAAATTCATCTCGACAATTTACAGCATGGTCTCTAATGTTAGGCAGTGACGTAAATTTGTGCTGGGAGCTGGGGGTGGTGTTTGGGGGTGATTTACCCGGCGGTGGGAGGGGGGAGCTGACATCATATCGCACGGGGGGGGCGATGTTCATGATGCCGATGTACATCAGTGCTTTATATTCCTGCCAAACCCTACATTAAAACAGCGTATTTATGGCTTTTTAAATTATTGGTCTCCATTTATGGTGATTTTGAACACATTTTGGTTGATGACAAGACCTACAAATTCTTCACAATCAACCTCAACTTTTTCTTACCACGAGAAAGTGGAGGGGGATAATTCAATAGCCTTCCCTGGTCAGTAAGTGGTGGGATATATACCTCCACCCTTCGGGATTAACCGCTGTTTCCAAGTCTCCTTAGGGACTCTATATTTAATGCATTTGTGCAAGCACAGGACACATACTTGATGCCTGTTTTTAGATGGCTTTTCTAAGCAAATGGGGAATTTTTAATTTTCATTCCCTTTCATGTCATTTTTTTCTGTTTTGCTTCCCCCCCCCCTTGTCGCGACGTCCGTACAATAGTCCACTGAATGATGGCGAGTCCATTGACGTAATACGGCGCTGTATAAATGCCATTAACATCTCTAACCGTAGTGTCATCGACTGTGTTGATTAAACATACAGGATGGGAGCAATTTATGGGAAAGTGCGATCTGGCTTTAATGTATAGCTTCTACATCAAACCCTCAATCAGCCAAGCGTCGATATAATTAGTTAATTGATATATATTAATTGAATCCCCCGATATGCTGGATGGGGAACTAAGATTGGTTAACGGAATTCACTCAAGGCTTTTGTTCGGCCGGAAATCACTCCGCTGAACTTTTCTGAGTTCAGGTAAGTTTGGCTAAAATAAAGCTTTGCTCCCTGCCCCCTTCTACATGTATTATGAAAAAATAAATTTATATTATTAACCCCCGGAGGGCTTTTTATTGATAGAGATAAAACATTGTGTAATTAATGTTTATATTACTCCACTTAAAATGGGAAACAAAGCCATTGAGTTTACGAAGACACTATGGTGTGGCTTGATATTTTCTGAATTACATGTAGCTGCCCCTGCCGGCAAGATATACATTATCCCTATAATGTCCCGATTCACAAGAAATTTTTTGTCGATAAACCTTCTTTAATTCTCCAAAACGCCTCTGCTGTGAACAAAAATTCTTTTTTCTCTGACATTTGATGATTCGATAACTATCATACTGGTTTTGTATTCAACCTTTGAATCGGTTTTGCAGGATATAGGAGTGAGGTTCAAAACCCTCAATATTAGGCCTAGTTTTCATCCCTTTGTTAACCTTGAGCACGAGTTAATACATTCCAACTGCGTCTAAAATGCGTTGACATAGAATTGTCTTAAAAAGCCCGGGCTTCAACCTTTATTGTTCAAATCATCGTTCAGGTCAGCTTATTGAGTGAACGAAAGCAAACCAAACCTAAATGATGACGGTAAAAATGATGAATCTCAAAGGAAAGTGCAGGTCAAATTTTGAATAGAGCTTTTTTATATGAATGGGAGTACATTGGACTTATCCTTTATGTCGCAAATAAATGCTTTCCAGCTGTCGAGTAATTCATCATGTCGACCAGAAAAGCATTTTCTGAACTTGTCTCATTAGCCAAGCTCCCGTTGACAAACATTGACAAGGAACACAAGGGGATAGTTTCCTACCCTCCATTACTCGACCTCTTTGTAAAATGTTGCATGGATGGTATGATAAATGACAAGTTAGGCCAAGTGAAGAATAAACATAGGATCTTGATTTCAAAAAACAAAGAGAAGGCGGGGCTGTTTTCCTTTTTTTTATTTCACTTTCGACACGGCCTTCTTTCTTTTTAAATTTTCAACATTCATCAAGGCTTATGCTGTTCAAAGGCACAAAACGTAAGCAATATGTTGGACATGAGAATCAAATATTTATATTCAAAGTGGTTTATAAATTTTTTATAAAGGTCTCTAGTGCTAATTCACAAGACTTTGACAACCTACCCGCTTCCATTAGCGCGTGGACTAGATGAAGACGTCCGTGGAAAACGTAACCCGGTCGACTTTTCACGATGTTTAAAGTGACATGCACTGCAGATTTCATTCTCACAAGTGCCTAAGTTTCTGATGGATTGGTTTATTGACTGAACATGTTTGATTTTGTTCATTTCATATTTCGGTTTGCATGTATACAAAATAAAGCCAGGCGGCCTCCAAAAAGGAAGAGGGCGGGAACGCTAAAAGTTGATTTTTTTTACTTCGCCTCAAAAGACATCTGGAATTAAACCCATCCTCGTTTTCTTCTCGTAACCATGGTAATCAGTTCCTTCAGAGATTCTCTCGTGGCCCCGCCCCCGTACTGGAAGTTTAATGACAGAATAGGATAATTCTTTCCCGATCAAATGACGGATAAATCTTATGTTGAAAAGGAGTATTAAAGTTTGCTGCATTTGGTTTCATCTGTACTTTGCCAAATTAAAAGGCTTTTAGCGAAAAGGTATATTAATGAATCCGTCAATTCCAATGAAGAATTCATTGGAAGAACAAACCTGAGGTAACAGGATTATAGTCTGAATTCAATTCAAACAAATCGTTGAAAGGTTCTTGTTTGACGGCTGCTAAATATGTAGCTCCATCAAAGAACAGGAAATGCTTAATTGATAATATGTCGTCGTTCTTAAAATTTGTATGTTGACTTCGAAACATAAATGAACTCAAAATACACGTTTTTCATTAAGCAAAATATTTTAAAGAAATCGCACGAATCCTCATGCTTTACACACACGCACTTATTCACGCTTGAACGTGTACATAGCAAAGGTTCAAAGCGCAAAGCGCGCGCAGAGCATTATTGACATGTAGTTGCATTGATGCAATCCTGCCATTTTACCAGCCATTCTGTATGAATATATTCGATTTTTGTTTTTCGCCAGGTGTTCATAATCCTTCACCAGTACAACCTATTCTACAGTGAATTCGCTGAGGACCTCGCCATTCGTGTCTTGTTTGCCAACACTCTTCTGAACCCGGTGGTATACGGTCTGTTCAACCGAACCTACCGCAAAGCTTACGTCTATTTCATCAGGAAGTTGCTCTACTACGCCCTCTGTGGGAAGATCAAGAAGCCAAAAGGTGAGCGAACTAGAATGCTTCCGTCTACATCATCATTTTTTGACTTCCCAAAATCCTGCAACTATTTATTAAAGATACAAGAAATCGTTCAACTCAGACCATTTTATTTTGTGTTGTTTTCAAATAATATCAAAGGGACTAACTTATCGGAGGCGAGTTTTCCAAGTCTCTGAATTATATCCTAGATCTGTCTGTAGTTGTTTTAATATCAACATGACCGTCGCGCGTGCAGAGATAATTGTGACGCTCAAACAAACCCTGTATTGTTTGTTATACGATTATTAGTATCCTCTTGATTAGGATAATACTTAAACTTGTCAGCTTTAGTGATCAAGTTTGGAGCTTAAGTCGATATGCTGACTTGTGTTTCTCTACCCGGCTCTGACTCCATGCATGGAAGAACTCCCTCTTGCGTGGTGAACATGCAAGAGTAGAAAATCGAGCCCTGGAAGTTACTACGTATATATACCTGTACTACAATTCTCTCTCTCCTTACATGTTGACCCATCTGTTCCATTTTGTTCAGTTTGGACAGGTAGTGAACATTCAATAGGAAGAGGATCAGCCAAACGAGTCAAAAACAGCCCCGGTATAAACTCTCAATCGGTCCATGGTATGGACCATTTATTGGAATGTGACTTGCTTTAATCTCGATGTAGTTCAGTTCTGTTAACATTTGATCGTGTTTCTGTGGACATCTTGCTGCTGTTGCATTCATTTAGCTCTTAATTTAGTATGAGTACTTGCCCCCTCTAGTTGCACGGTTGTTGATCAGTTGATATTAATGCACCGTTAATTTTAACAAAGAGCTTGGTCCAGTCCATGTTAGCCCTGACCTGCTCCACCAACCAAGCCCATCCCAGCCTAGCCTAACCATTCGCACAACCAAACTTAAATCAACCCGACAAACAGCAACCAACCCAACCCCATAAACCCAATGCAACCTAGTTGAGCCAAATGCAGGGCAACCCAGTTCACCCCACAACATAGTGTGCACCCAGTTCGATCCAACACAGCCGGGCCCATACTATCCAGAGCTACCACCGTGCAGCACCTTATAACTACGACCATTGCTTGTCGCACCTGCACGAACTTGTGATTATATATATATACTTTTCCTTTATTTCCCCTTTTCACCCAAGCCGTTTTCCTCTGCGAAGCTCTGTCTTAGTAATGCTTTTTTTTCTTTTCTTTTCTTCTTTTTTTTGGTTAGAATTGCGCAGTCTTCGGCATCATTTCTCAACTTTGAACCTTCTATATTTTTTATTTTTAAATATATTGAAAGCGTTTTGAAAACCAATTCACTGTCGTGATTCTAAACATAATACCGTAACTTGTCAACGCTCTCACAGAATCATGTTTAAAGGCTGTATTTTACACTCATAATTCCAGCGGTTTAAAGGAGAAAAGATCTCTGATGTTGCTGGTCTATATTTGAATGCATTAACTTTTGTTTGCATTTGGCAACATGCATTGAACCATTTTACAGTTGAGTTTGTCAACACAAATACTTTTATTCCCGTTTCTTTTCCAGTTCAGAAGCTCTCTAGGAAAGTATTCGCGAACATATGCCTGAAATGTGCTCATTCATTTGACGATATGATAGACAGTATTTTAAAAAATGCAGTTTGGGCGACGCTGATGGAGCATAAACCTTGAACACTGAAAGACAACCAATGCTTCATACGTTAATTTTACCGCAATATTTTCCCAGGACGGTTGGTCACGAATACTTCGGGAATGAATTTTCCCTTTTGTCGTTAGATCAGATAATCATAGACCAGTGACCTGACAGAAGAAATATCTTTTGTAAGGTATATGAGCCTTTGTAAACTACATCGTCATGTTTCATTGTCATGCATTCTTTCAGCAACTACATGCTACCTGTCCTATACCCACCTGTTCTTTTGATTGCAAACTGTCACTGACGTAATACATGCATTTCACATTCAGCAAACGGAATTTCTTATTTTGTTTCCGAGGAAATCTATCACGTGACCTGACGTCATGTGTAAAAATTAAATTTGTTGAAGCTGTTTGCACATGAATTCCTGCTGGCTTCAAAGGATTAGATATCGTCCCTGGAGGAGTCTCAGTAAGACGCACTTGACGTTCTAATTCTCGCCACTGAGAGTCGAGATGCAAATTCATTTAAATCATAAGTCTTTTTTACCATTCTATATTAGAGCGAAAAATTTACTACCTTCGGAGGTCTTACCTGCAACGTCGATACGCAAGGAAGACACATTCACACGGAAAACGAGGTCAACCTGAGGACACAACGCAGGAAGTAAGCCTCAGTGAGTTTGGAATAAATGGCAACACACCGCAGGACATCGACATTACACCTGCAGATAGCATGGATGAACTCTCCGTAAGCAATCTCCGTAACTGTGACTTCGACAACACTGGCTTCACTCTGAATTCCCAAGAGGATCTCATAGGAGCAAATGAGGACTCAAGGGCTAGTAATGTGGGGATTTTTACAATAAGCAACCGAGAGAATCTGGAAGAAAGGTTGAACTGTAAGGTTAACAAATCGAAGAGTCACTCTAATGGTAGGATAGTTGGCATGGAGACGGTGACATCCCTGGAGCTGGAAACCACGCCAGCATACAATGATGCCGGTACTGAGTCAACCTGGCTTTGACAATGTTTTGTACATGACCACGTTAGCTATAACTCCTTCGCTGTCACACCCTTAAAACGTGAAGTGAAATTCTGCTCGAAAAGGTCGGATGAAATGGATGCATTCTTTGTAAAAAGGCTACGTTGTCGAATTTACTCCCTGTGGTAATTTCATGTTGAGTTACATCTGCCGAGTGTTATGGTTTTGTAGGATGCTTAAACGTTGTTTCCAAATATACCCAGAAACAAAATAAGGAGTAATTTGCTTTGTTCAAGTAGCAGTGACTTTATTTCCATAAAGATAATCGTCAGAGATTTAACTTTCTGATTCACTTGATTTCAATATCGTTGCCTTTTTTTTTCTAATGCCTATCCACGAGCTTGTGGTTTGATACTGATAAAAACGTGTGGTAATGCATTGGTTTTGTGTAGCATCTCTAACGATAGTTTCTCACGATATAAACTGCTCGGGAAATGACAGAAAGATGGAAGAATTTAAACATGGATCAGTTAACCTCAGAACGTTGGGATATAAACCCAACGCATATCTCCTAATCAAAGTTTTGTTAAGGTGTAGGCCTAAAGGGTAGGGTGAGGAACCTCAGCGTGTCATTGCACACACCACAATTTCAGTGTGGGTTTGTATACCAGAATTCCGAGCAAAGTGATATCAAAATGCTGCCATTGGACTAAGCTTCGCAGAACCTACAGCGTACACCATAATTTTAATTTTGCGAGCTTAAAAGATAATAATACCTCTGATGTAACCATGCGATCGTGTCAATCTGCCCGTTCTTTGGGCGTACATTAAAGGAAAAATAATAAAATCCTACTGAAAAGGATTTGGGAAGTCATCATTATATGAGGGGTCATTACTGTTTAGTTGGAAAACGGAAAAACTTAAGATACTTATTAAAGGATGTTGCAAACGTTTATACTATGTGTGGACCTTATTTTTATGAGATTAGTTTAAAAGACATCTCTGACAAAAATTTATTTATTGAGAATTTTTACTTAAAAATTTGTAATTATTTTAACTTCGGTTGATCTACATTTCTTTCCATTGTGTCATTGCTGTGAGATATGTTTAGGACCAATTTTAACCAGAGTTTATTCAGTCCCGTGTTAGCATCTGATTTTTATTTATATGAGCATTCTTTTTTAAAGGTTTTGAACAAAAAGTTAGTTTGACAAGTGCGGGTGCTTTTATTGTCTTGCTCATTATATGTACATGTCTTATTTTTCATTTACAAATAAGTAACAATTCAATCAACTCAAAGAAACGTGATTACTTTAACCAGAGAGATGAAATGGAAAATTTTACCAGTTTGAACTGTAATTGTTAATCATCCACTTAAATCTCCAGCCCCCTAAAATCGAACTTTTCTACCATTTCCAAAAGGTCACAGACAAAGTTGTATTTGCCGAGCTCTTTGTGTATGTAAGAACTTAAACACATCCGTCTATACAACACCCTGAGCAAAAGCCAGAGTTGATGTGTTCCTAATGTGTCTATATTTGTGTCACTTTGGACGACTTTGAGATGCCATTGTTGCTCACATGTTTACATGATCATGGTTTGAAATTTGTTACTTTGTCACATTCATCCAAGCTTGGGTTTTATCATTAAAATGAAAAATGGAATAGTGGCTCTGACTGACAGAAAAAAATCCTTTTAAAATTCTTCCGAATAAGTGTCTGTTTTTGAGCATTATTTTCCTTAACAATTTATGGGACCTTTTACTAGCCCATATTTTCATTGTACGTGTATAACTGGTATAGAAGAGGACGGACAGAGAGTTTCTCAACATGAAGAGATCCCAAAATGCACAGTCGAATTTCTAGTACTGTTTCCAGCACACCTGTTGCTGTTGGTGTGCTGCCGAGATTTAACATTTAGTGTGCATGAAGATATTTAGATTGGGCGTTAACTGCGGTTCTTTGGTGCAGTTTTGAACCTCCAGCAGTGTTTCGTCCGTCTTTTAATTGGATACACATTGTAATTAAAGAGAAAATTTATTTGTTGTCGTGATTTAGTACACTCTCTAAATCAGGGTACATGTAATTAAATCTGACATTTTAGGCCACATATGACTAACCAAGGTCAGCTTGTCATCGGGAAAAAGATGTTTCAGGTTCAATCTGACAACTGAGCTAAACACGAAGACGTTAAGTATGTCAAGACTATTAGATCATCAGCTTTTTCACGTTCTTTCCGGACATTTCATGATGAACAACCGTCATGCATCGAAACCTGGTCTAAACAAAGGGGAATTAAGGATACAATGCCTAACTTTCATAAGCGTGTGCTCCCAACCAACCACATCACCCCACCATCTAATCCATATGCCCATGCACCCATCCAATCTGAACCTTAAAATTTTGGTCGGTGTGAAGTAGAATTCAGACTTCATTTCCATAACGGATTAATGCCTAACTTCCATGTACGTGCATTGACCTATTAAGTTTTAGAGGAATTTGTACATGTCCGCAAATTGAAAAAGAACTTACTTCCTTCAATTAATTGCATTAATCGGTCGGTCGTGATAGATTTTGACAGCAAACGATCCGTGGTTTCCATGGTAAAGGATTTGTAGGTCTTGAACCTGAAGGTAGAGGATGATGAGTCAGTTTGGAGATAGTTTGAAAAATAAAACTTGATGGATCTTTAGCAACTTGATATGCCAAGCAGATAAGCTTTTGGCACGTGTTCTGGCGTGGTGTCATCCCGTGGACGTGTTTACTTCCACCTGTTGGTGGACTCTGAGTGACATTGATTACCGCTTGTCGTTTCCATTACCAACGACAAGCAGTCACAATCATACCCCAGGCTTTGGAACTGAAATGGGGGAAAATCTACTTGACTCAGTGTTAAGTTTACGCAACCAAGTTTGTTTTTTCTTTCTGCTCTGAATTATATGGGACAACTTTTTTGCAGCAAGAGATTCTGACCGCGCGCAATTTTGCCTGCTATCCTAACCAGTAGGATTAGCAACAAAAAAGTGCTCCTGCTTATTACGGGGTGCTTCGAAGCTATACTCGTTTCCCTACGGACTTTGTATTGTACAGTTGAGAACACTGTGAACTGTTCGTATTGTCTCTCTTTCAAGACCTCCAGTGAATTAAGTATTGTTTGTAGGTTTGTCAAATGTTTACATTGAAAATCAACAATTCCTTCTTTGATAATTTATTGTCCTAGCAGATCACCGTGAAATCTATTTGCAAACTGTGTCTCATTCTGAAAAGGAATTGATCCCAAAGGCAGGCTTTCAACTGCTGAGCAACGACTGGCGTGTTAAATATTACCATAGTTATTTTTTATTCTATCACAAGCAGTGAGGTAGATGTAGTGCCATGATGTTAAGCCTTAGCCTTAACGGTGCTTTAAGGCTTGATTTTAGGACCCTTGCCTCAGCCTTAAAGCTTGAGGGTCAAAGCCTGGGCCTTAGCCTTTAGGCCTACCCTGAGGATCAAAGCCTTCGCTCATAAGCCTATCTGTCCGAGATTGTACAGTTAGCCACACATGTACATGTAGACTTTGTGTTCCGTTACAGTTGGTAATTACCATTAATATTGTGTACCTCATTTCTTCTGTTATTAGAAAAATCTGTCTCGTTTGTTGAAAGGAAATTGCTAGAATTTCAGTGAGCATATTAAAACAAAAGTAAATGAATGTTTCCTTTTTTTCAGTTTAACCTTTTTTGTTGAACAAGATAACTCTGCGCAGGTGCCTCTTCTGACTCACTGTGTCCAAAGCAACCTATCACGTGGTTTCCTGCTCGTCAACGTTTACTAGCGACGCCAATGGTGGTTGTTGATCGGGTGAAATGCAAAAATGTTACGGAAATGAGTACACTGATCGCATTACAGTCCTCCACTTTTCCGGAGACAGGGGCGGTTTGCGTTTCTTGGTCCTTGCAGTACAGCCCAAGAAAGCGGTCATGTTGCACGGTTAGCTGAAGACCTTTGGGAACATGGCTTTGAAGCACTTGAAATCGATTCAAGACGGGGCTTCACTGTTCTTAACCGACAAAGAAGACATTTTAAGGTGAGACCACCGTAGAGTGTGATGTGTCTGCAAGCTTAGTTCAGGTTCCTCGCACACTGCCCATCGCAGGCTGCGGGACACATGTACGTTAGTCATCCAATACGAGGAAACTATATATGAGTGTGTTGCTGTTTCGATATCAGTACTTTTATTCTGTTCAGGATATCTTGGAGATCACCTTGCATTCTGGTGTCGATTAGCTACGAACAAAGCCTTAGACGGTAAATGGATTCAAGTTATAGCCTTACTGCCGACTCACGTATGAATTTATTTCCTTTTGCAAAGTATTTTTTAGCTTTTTTTTTTACTTACGCACTTTTAAAAGAGATTGAATTACCGGGCTGTGCTCAATTCTTCAGTATACTTGACTGGTACAAGCCATTTGTCTCTTTGTATTCAGGGTAAATTTAACTTCTCATTTCAAAAGGAGTTCGTAACACGACCCAAGAACACTGTTCTTGGAGCAGGTTCACACACCACCTCCTCGTTAGGGTTGCACACAAACACACGGAAAAACTCATGAGATTTGATTTTTAAAAAGCCGCAAAAACTATCGAGATGGCTTACAAAGCTGGAGACAATGGAAAGTTTTGCAAAATTAACGCTAACAATTTTCCATGACAGAAATGATTTTTAATGGAAAAGAAGTTAGCCCAATTATCCAAACATTAACTCTCGAAGAATGCACAAGGACGCCGCCATGTTGCATGTTGCTTGCAGCTACAAATAACTAGTAGCGATAACCGGTTGTCCATTCTCGGCGCTCGAGCGGCCGACTCACGAACAACAAATCGAGCTGCTCGCGAACATACGAGAACAAGCCGCCCGAACTCAGCCAAAGTTTCCAAACTGGGACAGTTGGCATGAAAGGACTTTAAGTTCAGAATTCATGACTAATAAGGTACATCGTTATCATACCACACCCGATCTTTCGTTTCTATTTAATTACAATTGAGTGATCTTATAACCTGTTCTAGGAACCCTTTGACGTAGCTTTATTTTCCAAGGACTACAGTAATTGAAAAAGCGCTGTCTAGTCTCGGTTGATAATTTCTTACCATGTTGTGCCACTTATTCTTGGAAATTTTCATAAATTGATACCATAAGGCGTAAAGTCTTGACTTGAGAGTTGTGCAAGCATTTTATTACATCGATAAGAATTTTTAATCCCTAATGTTTATCTTTTGACAGACACGAGACTGAGCGAGACTTGATGGATGTTTCACCATCTTGTGGGTTTGTAGACAAAGATTAAACGGCATCTGTGAGAAGACGCTACTAGAATTCCATCAGCTAGTCTCAGAATGCAGTCTGGCAAACCTCATCTTCGGCGGTCTGTCGTCTGTGTGCTGAGTCAAATGTACTTGTTTTTTATGTTCAGTCGTCTTGCCGCGGCCTGCCCCGTGAGATGTCACTGCCGAGTTGGTGGAGAGGTCAACTGTACCGAGGCCAACATGAGAAGACTACCTTCCTCTGACATGCTGTCAAATACCCACATTCTATACCTCGGTTCCAATTTCATCAGTTCACTGTATGAGGATTACTTTCAGGACCTGTCTGAACTGAGACAGTTACACCTAGCTCAAAACCGAATCTCGCGACTGCCAGACTATGCTTTTCGCCCGCTTGGAAGGCTCGAAGTACTCGATTTACGGTTCAACATGATCACCCAGATATCGGAATATGCATTTGACGGTTTAGTGAGTGTGGTTGTGCTCAATTTAGCGGGAAATCGCATCGAGTCAATCAGTGGTGATGCTTTTGACGGCATGCGGAGCATGGAGGTTTTAAACCTAGGTGACAACAATCTACGGGTCAGCGGGCTACCACAGAACTTGTTCCAGGGAGCACAGAATCTGAAGTGGTTAGACTTAGGAAGTTCGGAACTTAAGACGATGCCTCACGACTTGTTCACCCATGAAAATCGTGCTATTAGTCTTGATATGCCTTCCTTGTTCAATAGTTTGCACAGGTTAGAAATACTCATCATAGAAGGCTGCAAACTACAATACTTGGAACCAAGGTCGTTTGCCGGTACCATCAACTTGATTGATCTACGACTGGGTTTCAACGCTCTCAAAGAAGCCTTACCATTGACTTTGTTCGAGACATCTCCACACCTACGAAGAATTCAGCTACAGAACAACAGTCTAACGCACCTACACGAGAGACTGTTCGATTCCATCGATGACTTGGAATACGTGGAACTTCTTAACAATCCATGGCATTGTAGTTGCGGACTTCTTGGCTTGAGAGCACGTTGGTCAAAGCAGCCGCGTGCCTTTCTTCAGACAGAGTTAGTCTGCCAGTCCCCTGAATTATTTAGTGGCAGGGAGCTATGGGATATTTCCCTTCATGAACTCTACACCTTTTGCGCCTCTGGTATCGAGCACATATCAACCATTACTGCCATACGAGATGACAGGGAAAGTTTACAGTCTCTGGACTGCCCAGTCTATATGGGGACAAAACACATTGTCTGGCTTACTCCAAGCGCGGATTACATCACCTCAGACGTCGAAGTGAGCAACAATAATACGCACCAACACAGACTTCTCGAAAACGGCTCACTTTCGGTCGACAGTATCCAGCTTGGTACCTACATATGTGTTGTCACATTGAGCAACGGGAGCTATCATGTTGGAGGTGTTCAAGTCGACACCGTTCCGCTCAAATCTCCCGGTCCGCCTGAAATCCCCGACGGGAGCAAGTTTCGTGTGCTGTCCGCCTTCATTGTGCTGTTGGTTTTGGGTATCATTATATCAACCGCGTGGGCCACCTGCCGCATTCGTCAACGGAGTCGCCGGAACCGATTTAGTCTTTTGTCCAAGGAACACGCGTTGATAGACATGCGACCGCCGGCAGAAATCAACACGGAGGGGACGGACTACGATTACGACTATGCGTACGCTCATCCCCGTACGCGCATTCATATGACAACGGATGAAAGTGCGTACGCCGTGGGGCGATTGTGGGAGGAACAACAGCTGAACAGTAAGTCACTGGTTCCCCGTATTAGACCTATTTCAAGATCTATGCATGAACGGGGACCTAAGTATTACAATGACTGTGTGCGGCCCGCGGTGCAGCGAACTTCCCATACCATCTCGACTGGTGAAGTCAACGGGTACATCACGCCGAGCCAGATATCAGCATGCAAAGTGAGTGTCCGGTCGTGGACGGAACAGGTGAAAGAATTGAAAAGAGCAGGAAGATTAGGCGACTCTCCCTTTAATGGTGTCAGCTCAGAAAAAAACACGATCAGGCCTGATAGTTCCGATACTCGCTACCTTGAGATCATGTAGGCCTAGGCCCTGTCTGTTCGTAAATCTTATGTGTGCCTTTTGTTAGTTCAAATTATTGGAGTCTGATTTGGACACATGGAATGTGATATACAGAGAAATACTTGCTCAAATGGAAGCTGTCTGATAATGAGAAAATTTTGTCCATCTTCCTGAATGCTATGATAGCGTATACATTTCGTATTATCACTCTTGAATGTTTGCGATAAATACACCGGAAATGTTTTTCTCGAGAGGTAAGAAATTGAATCCGACAATAACCAATGAGAAAGCCTTTATAGCACTTGATTTGTATTCTCTGGTTGTCTTCAGGACAAGCTAACTGATAGAAAATCTCTTCGCAGAATCCCTTTCTTTACCAGAATCATCGTGTCATTGTAAACGTTTGATTTGATTTCTCTCCGCCAAACATTCAAAGACTACTCCCAAATAAACTAGATAGGTTTACTTGCTACCCTCACCACGAAAAGCTTCAAATCTCACTACTCCCAAAGTTTATCACTTTCATTCTAGAGGGGCCTCTTGGTGAGGCATAGGCCTGAGTTTGGGAAATGGCAAAATTAGCAAATGAAGTTCTTGCGTTAAAATTACCAAGAACCACCCACAATCATGGTACTTTTTAGCAATGTAAAATACAACTTCCTCCAGTGGTCATATTCGTGTTTGGTTTAAAATTTAACTTGATGATTCAGTGGTGTGGTCAAGGTTGTGGTTGTGATCGAATGATCAGTATTATTTTCCTTCGTCAAAAGGAAGCCAGGCTTTGAAATAAGGAATCAGGTGACTGATGGTAATGGCTTGCTGTTGAATGCCAGGTCTAAGATTGCACTGTGCTGATGAATCGTCTCTTTTGGAAATATTTATTCTTTCGAATAGGAAACGCATACTATGCTTTGGTTGTTTGACAGATTTTACCAAAGCCCAATATTTTCCAGGTCGATGCTTTTAAATTTTTAGTCTTGCATGGGCTTACCGTAATTTCATTCATCCGACCTAGTGTATTTCAAAGTAACTGTGTCGTTTCAGTTGGACCTTGGGCAAACTGAACAGACACAATCAGGGATAGGACTATATGACACGTAAGAAACGGTTGCATTTATAAGATAAGTGGACAGTTTTCATCTCAAATAGAACGGTTACCGGTCCCGTAAAAAGTCCATTATTCAAATCCATTACAAGCTACCCTGTCTTAAGCCCAGTCATAATCCTGTGAGCTGTGACAACAGCATTCGTTTGTCACTGTTGATCCTGTTTCTTGTGACAGGTGAGTATGGCTGGATTCGTGAGTGGACTTGTGTTGGACTCAGTTTTATCTATAACTGTTCAAGCCGTGTTGGAAGATAATACACACAATTATTGGAATTCACACACTCGCTTGATACCATTTTAATCCAGTCCTAAAACCTAGAATCCATACTCACTTTTCCAAGTGGTTAGCCTTCGGTGATCATTTGACTTCTCCCTGCTTAAATCCGTGTTCCTAAGCCATACAATAAATACCTTGTTATCTTCTGTTAAATTTGGTTTGCTTTTTTTGGGGGGGAGGAGGCGTCAAAAATTGAAAAGATCAAAAATGCGAAAACACATGTCAATTCTACGGCAATGTCGTTAAATCACTCATTACACGCAGGCCTACGGAAATCTCGATTAAAGAGGGAACTTGGGCCTAACGCAAGCTGATTGGTCATTTCCTGTCAAATTCACACTGCTTCTTTTGGTGAAAGGTCATGCCAAGTGAGATGACTCTTCAAAAATGTTGCGTGTACAATACATCAGCCGTCAAGAAATGTTATCGGCTGCAAACAACGACAAGTAACCCCCGCTGGAAAGGAAAGCTACAGGCTGTGAGATTTGATAACTTTTCGCTTTTACTTTTTTGGACACGATAAACTGTAGGAAATACAAGTACTTTTCAGATCCACAAAAGCTAGACCAAACCTTATCTGACAAGGTACATTGAGGCTCACTTCCCGCTGCCTATCAGACCATACACTGCAAAAACTGTAGTGTTAAAATCAACACTTTTTGGTGTTATTAGATGACCACACCATAGGGTGTTACTTTAATACCAGTGGTGTTACTTCACACACCTACAAGTGTTACAAACAACGGGAGAGTGTTAAAAGTAACACCAAATAACATCCAAATTTTTAACACCAGTGAAAAGTGTTGGTGTAGTCCTCTGAAAACAATTGAGGTGTTAAATTAACACCCCAGTTTTTATAGCCTATAGGCCTAAAGAAAACGGAGCATTCACGGTACTACATCATGTTGAGAAGAATTACGGGAAAGTGCTAGTTTGCTTTCTTACTATACATTCTTTAAAGGCCGAAACACTTTGCGGCACCGCAATAGGAGACCTCACCTTTTCGTTTCGGCTGACTCAGCAGCAAAATGGTAATTGTTTATACTGAATGCCCTAGTTTGTAGCTGTAGTCATGGTTGTGACAACTCCTCACAAGTCTATGTAACGTTAATTTTATTTTAAAGTCCATTTAGCTCAGTTTTCGGCCCAAACTGGAAAAAGGCGAGATGGCGGTGCAAGACACAAAATTGTGACGCACAAATTCAGTCCAATTAAGTGACACAGCATGTAATGGAGGTTTAAATATCTATGACGATAGTCAAGTACTTGGGAAGGTCCTGTCTTCGTTTTGAGTGACCCTTCTTCTCCTGGTCACTTGAATATCAGTTAGAGCTGCTGAGACGAAAATGAAAGAATTCCACATTCATAGATCGTCGATTTGCTTGCTGTATTCTTCTTTTATTAAAAGCACAGCTCTTGGTGAACTCGGGGTTACGGTGGTGCAGATCATGTCCTGGAGTTCGTGACGCACACCAGCTACTAATGGCTGTGCTTGATGAAGCCTAATGACGTCATCAGTTCCTCTTCTTATTGGACATTAGGGTCATCCTTGCTCCTATAATGCCTGCTTCTTGCGTCCGTCTGTGCCTTTACCAAACTGTAGGATACATGCATCCAGCCAGTTGTCTTCGTTTTCGTAATGATTTTAGACGTAACTCTCAGAAATCGACATCGAATGTTTTACACAGAATGGTTATTTTATTTTACTTCTATTTCTCTTTGTTCTGTTGCCAGTAATCTTTTTTTCAAGAAAATATTTGATGGGTTTTGTCATTCTAATTCTCAGTTGTCTTGATATGTTTACTTGAAGGAGATGTGTCTTTATCACAAGACCGTGTTCGTCATTACAATCACTGCGTCTGGAGAAGTTTGTCACGCCAGTCATTGTGTATGATCATCCTTCACGATACATTTTACAACAGTCAAGTTTTAACATTTTCGGAGCACTTTGTTTCCTTTCTTTCTTTCTCTTGCAGTCCCCATTTTGGGACGGGTTTATGATTATCAAACATCATCACTGGAATGTAAGCGTTTCTAGAGAGAAATTACATATTTTGTTACGGATGGGTCTTTGAAACCCATCTTCTATGTATACTGCCGCTATAGGCAGGCACCTGGAGAGGTTTTAACTTCATCTTGAGCACGGTAGCCCCCCTTTGTTTCAGCTGATACGCCATCAACTGATGTCGTCGCTTCTCATCCTTTTACTTGTCTCTTTTGCTTGTCTCTTCTATGAGCTATAGTCTGAAGAAGATTCCGCTACTGTTAAAGTCTGGGTGATTTAGTTTGACGAGGCGGTTTGTAGTGGCCTTGTTATTACTGGCAGGCACTTGGGAAGATTCTCTCTTCAACTTGAGGTTAACTCAAAATCTACAATGTTGGAGGGTATTGTTTCGTAAAAACAACCTTTGGCTAACATCTATCTGCAAGCGTTCAAACGGCGAATCCGCAGGTGATGTGGATGAAATTCACTTTCTGGCTCATTTTTCTCGACAAGTGTTCACGCGACATTTCTGTTTGCTTGATCAACATGTTTCAAATTCTGGCTCACTTTTCTCGACAAGTGTTCAAATGACAGATCTGCTTGTATTGTAGATACAATTCTTCTGGCTCACATCTGTCGACAAGCGTTCACATGACGATTCTGTTTGCTTGATCGACACCTTTCATCTTCTGGCTCACTTTTCTTTGACAATTGTTCACGTGACAATTCTGTTTGCTTGATCAACATGTTTCAAATTCTGGCTCACTTTTCTCGACAAGTGTTCAAATGATAGATCTGCTTGTATTGTAGATACAATTCTTCTGGCTCACATCTGTCGACAAGCGTTCATATGGCGATTCTGTTTGTTTGATCGACATCTTTCATCTTCTGGCTCACTTTTCTTCGACAAGTGTTCAAACGACGGATCTGTTTGCTGGAACCAATTCAATTTCTGTTATCGTTTTTTCCACGACAGACAAAATTATATCGTCTTTTTTTGTGAATGTAACTCTTTGATTCTTTAGGCCAATGACATTACTTTTTCTCTTTAAATCAGTCATGAGCAGTTTATCAATAATTCTCACTGCCTGTGATCGGCGTTTACAGCCCTCCAACTGGTTCCCACGTCAGCCAATGCTGATGCGTTAACAGATCTTGACTGACCATTCTGATTATTTTTGGTTGGTCATTCTTTATTTTCTGTTGCTTAAAAGAATACTCTCTCCTCAACAGCCTGTTAACATTATAGGTCAAGAAAACAAATCACACTTCAGGATTCAACATCTCGACTATAGTGTTTTTTGAAAATCTTAAGGTTATAGGAAAATACAATTACGGGTATAATGGGAAGTCTTCATTTTACAAGATGACTACCATCGCAATGTTTTCAAGAGTGGTTCAGCAAGCACTCGCACAAGTTGCGTACATGTGCTTCGGATATAAATGGTTACTCACGATGCCAGATGGGATCCCAGATCTTGAATCACAACTAATTTACCAGTATTGCCGGGATTTCGGTCAATGATCTGCTGATGCCTCAAGTTATCACTGTTAGCCACGTGGAACAAGTGCGATTATTTCTCATGGGAAATATAGCCGGTAGACAGTTGCAGGCCTAATTAATTGGTCACGAATTCACAATATTCAACCACT